TTTTTTTATTCCACACCGATATGGTGACGATTGGCGGCTATATATCACCTATGGATCCAAGCTTGCATTATAATTTCCCACACGCTTAACCATTTGACAGCTGTCCATCGATCAAAAAGCCGAAAGACCGAAAAACCAAAAATTGAGTTATTTTTTTAACATTTTCCCATGGCCCAGTGGGGACCGGCTAATGTGTGTGTCCAGTTTTTCTGGGGTCTTTTATATGCAAGCAACGGCCCACGAAAGTGCTCCACTTTTAGAACTCGATTGGGGTTTTATAGAGCCATGTTTTATTCACCTGGGGCGATGCGATGTCATACCCAAAATAAGACACAAACAATTAACAGCGAAACCGAAAACACAAATAAGTCCACGAAAGCAAACATAAACATGTTTTGCCCGCTCAGTTGGCTTCGCTGCCTTCGTCGACTGCAAATGACACAATTCGGAAAGATTCTAGACTCTAGATTCTAGATTCTAGCTTCTGTACTCTCGATGCCATATTCTCGATTCGCAATTGGGCGAACAGTGGCAATTAGGTCACTTTAATATGCATATGCATATAGAACAGATTGAAGGGGAATCGGATCGGAATTGAAGCGAAATTGAAATCGAAATAGCCATAAAAATACAAAACAAAATATATTCAACAAGTGACGGCAATTAACGCCGGCAGCAAAGTGCAAAGCTATTTTTTCCACACGATTGTAGTGCTTTAGCGTTTGCTTTCACTGACAAAAATATGTTACTTTAGTTTAAAAACAAAACTGAATGTACATTTTTCAAATAAAACTGTTTGAAGTTGCCATGAAAATGAGTGTTAATTAAATAAAACTCTTTCTGAGATGGAAAACTTATTGAATATTAACAAAAAAGGCAACCCAATAAAGTTAAACTTCAATTTGAATATGTATATAGATATGAATATATATATTTTATTTCAAGAAAATTAATTTAAAATATACCATTCATATAGATTAATGTATTTACGAAGTTTTAGTTAATTAATTGATCGTCAAAAACAAGCTATATTTTTCGGTGTGTATAAAAAAAATATTGAAACTTTGTGAAACGGTATTACATTTGTATTATAATCATTAGTTATTTCAATAATGTATTTGACACGAGCTTAAGGAAATCTGATTATGAATTGGAAATCCACATCAGCTGGCAAAAAATATTTCCAACATTGCGTATGAGTGATAATCTTTAACGGCATCTTAAAGACATAAGAAAACACACATATAATAAAAGACTTCAAAATTATCTGTAAAAAATTATTTTTTCCTGGGTTGATGTATAATTTATAACATTATGTATCTCAATTTCAAGCCAAAGTGATAAGTCTTAAAATGTAGGTAATTCTCTTGCACGTTTACCTGATAGTTGTATGGAGCAATTATCTATAGGGAAATATTCAGTAAAATATGTACTATTTTTAAACGCTTACTATCTGGAATTTTTCTTAACATTTCTTGTCTTATCTCGATTGATGTGCAATTAAGCGAGGAAACATTTAGTCATGAGCTAATCGCAGCCAAGGTTTATCTGTACAGTGATCACCGGCTAAGTGGGAGTGCCTTAGCTGACCCCTTGACCTTCTCTTTCACGATCTCTCTCTCTCTCTCTCTCTTTTTTGATTTCCTCCCAATTAAGTTTTAATAAAGTTTAATTTCAATAACAAAAAGATTTTTGGCGCAAAAAAAAAATAAAGTTGGAGGTCAACATTGCTGACACGACAGCTCAAAAATGAAAAACAAAAACAGCTAAAAAGCGAAAAAACTTTAAAATAATTTATCAGCATTCGCACATCAACAAAATCTCGCACGTCACGTCATCAGATGAAGAGGGAGAGGGAGGTAGGCAGAGCTAGACAGAGAGCGAGAGGGAAGAGCGGTCCATCCCATCAGTAGGCTCGCAGTCGCAGTCGCAGTCGACGTCGACATCGACGCCAACAGGTTGCCGCTGTCGACTTCGCCGCAGAGGTGCGAAATCTGCTGACGCCGCTGCCTCTTCAACTGGTTATCACAGTACTTTTAGAAATTACGTCACTCGAGCAGAGACAGGGACAGAGAGTTACACTGCGAAAAAATATGCAAAAGAAAACAAACATTTTACAGATGCTTTTTAAGTTAATATATACAAATTTTGATTGCAATAATAAAAAATTCTCGATTTAAATAGATTTTTTTCGAGTAGTTAAAATATCTCTAGAGCTGAGTTGGTTTCGAAATAGCTAAACGGCATTTCTTTGTAATTTGTTAATCAAAACCAATCAAAGCCTCTAAATATTTGTTAGCCTTTTCAATTAATATAATTTATAAAAACCATATATTTATTATTTTATGTGTTAAGAGATTAACAATTATTAACTAATTATAAAATCCAAATGCCTTATATTTTAATATGTAGAAATATTAAAAATATATTTGGACAACATAAATCTCTTGCTTTATTAGAATCAATTAGTCTTTTTAATTTTCTGAATTGCAATTGGAAATCCGAAGTGAACTTTGTATGTTTTTAGCAACAAAACATGTTATGAGTTAAGTCACTTCGAAATTGTTTTCAGTGCACAAAGAGGGGCAGAGGCTGTGGCAGCGGCGCAAGCAGAGGCGTTTTAAGACGCAGGTCTAGACTAAGACCCGACCACGCGACCAGTTCTGGAAATAAAAAAAAAAATCACACACCAGCGAGCAAACAAACAAACAAAAATGAAAAAACAACAAAGCTAAGTTGCAAACTTTTTGCACAGACATACACACAACACACACACTTAGATGTTTTTCTCTTTGATTTCGCGCATTTTGTTTTATTTTGTCAATTCGAATCCGTTGATTTGGGCGAGTGAAAGCGCTGAAAGTGATGGCAGCGCCATCTGTCGTTCCGTTTTGTCAGAAAAGAAAGCACCAACTTCGCTATCAATCACCGGGGATGCCGCAAAAATGAGATTTCGCTAATAACTAGGGAAATGGCAGAAATCATAAATCTCTGCGAGTTGGGCGAACCACTAAAACTAATGGTCTCAGGCTGATCTAATTAAAAGAAACTTCAAATGGCTCTTTTAAATTGGCCATCTGGTCATGAGAACTTCAAGAACCCATCATAACAAGTTAAGATTTGTCATTCTATAAATCTATAACATATTATTTGTTTATTTTGTTTTTATGAATTATTTAATAAAATAAAATCTCGAATATTTTTGCAATAAATACTTGAATCTTAGTATTAAACATAAAAATCTGCTTTAAAATGTTGTTACTTTTGTATACCTATTGAAGTATGTTCAACCTTAAAATTTTGCTATTTTCTCCCATCTTAACAATTAATCTGCTTATTATTCATAATTCCATTTCCTATATAGTCCCCTTCCAATACATAGAGTTCCATCTGCTTTTAGGAAGTTGCCCATTTGTCTGTCATGTGGCCTCAGTTTGGCTAAAATTAAACAGTTAGCGAATCTAGCTCCGTTCCCCTCTCCCTTCCACCCACTATGCATAGAAATCGAGGTGTCATTATTGTTAATACAAATGTTATTTGACATGTTTTTCCGCCAAAGCGAAACTGGTCGCTTTGAGGTGAGGTGATATCACCGCTTCAACTTCACTCAATTTGTTTGCTAACGATATTGTGATCGCTATCTCTCTCTCTTTTTCTCTTTCTCTATAAAGTCTGCCACCTTTCTAGATTATTGTTTAAACAAATACGATCGTTTGGCGAAGCTCTTTGTTGTGGCCAATACGATCCGCTTATCGGTCAGTCGGAATTGTTCCATGTTTTATTTATAAGCTGGAAACGTCAGCCCTCGATTTCAATTTCGATTTCGATTCGATTCCGATAAGCAGCAAAATATTATAGAACCCGGAGTTCCACAGAAAAATTGAGTAACTGGAGCGAATTCCTGTAAACTGAAATTGGATTAAGGCCTGTCATCAAATCTTTGTTTTTATTTGGTTAATTGTGGCAAAGTGAAGTACCTAGAAAATAGATAACACAAGAACTTTATAACATTCTAGACTTTATTGAGTAGGGATCACCATGCCCCATTATTCACTTCGTTTGTCTGAATCATTCAATTTGTTACCCCTTAGCTAATCCCAGCCATTTTTGGTCATCGGTTGCTTCTGCCATTGAAATCCGAGAACTTATTGGGGGCGTCAGTCATCTTTATCATCTTTCTCGCCGGCTAGATTCGATACGACTTCTGTCTAAAAGGCAAGTGGCTGAGTCAGGCGAACTGGCTTTGGCGAACTGCAGTTGCTGTGTTGGCTGACCGGCTAATTGTTAGTGGCCCGGGGCGCCATAAAAGGCGATCGAACCGCTGGAAGCGAGAAGCGTGGGCTCCCTGCACTCCACTTGGACTCGCTCTGTACTCGTACTCCACTCACAGGCACTCAAACTTGAGCACGAGTTCACTTGGCTTAATTGGCTCAAGGACGGGCCTGTCCACAGATACACAAAAATAGATGGTTTACATTGAAAGTAAAACATTGAGACCGAAAATAAGTGAACTACACAGGGAAACAATTATTTTTATAGTTGAAAATCTTCCAAAAGGGAAGTTCAACAAAAAAAGAAAAGGAAATTATTATTGACTTTAGATATTTATCCAAACCCCTTTTTAGTAATTGACAAATTTTTGAAAGTAAACTCTTGAGTCAGATATTATTTCTATAAAGTGGTTTCAATATTATGCAAAATACATAAAAAATAGTTTCTTTGCTTGATAAACTTGAAGTCACGATTAGCTGTAACATTGCTATAACACAACAACATTATGAGAAACTCACAAGACCCTTCTGCCGAGTTTTAATAAACAGCTGGGAAAAACTCCTGAGAAAAATATACTTGTCTAAAGAATAGTCAATTATAAATATATTTCCAGCAGCTGTGGCTGACACCATTTCAGTGGCTTAGTTAAGACTTAAGCTAAAAGTTTACAAATAAGTAATGTGAAAATATACGAAATTAAGTTTCTAGTTATTTTCTGATCCTTTCAGTGGCAGCAGTCCGAGGACAGTGAACGCAAGAAGCAGATCCGATCGCATCTCTATAAGCTGCGCGAGTCGCGACTTTGCAACCTCTATAGACACGAAACAGACCCAATGTCGGAGCCCAACGGAAACGGAAACGGACATGGCAACGTGAACACGCTGGCCGGATACGCAGGCAAGGATCCGTTGGCCACCAGCCACGGGGATGCCCTGCTGGACCAGAACTTCCAGAGCCTCAAGTCGAAGGAGGTTCGCGATTCGACCAGTCCCACGCACGAGCTGCGATTCCACTCGATGACGCTCAGCCAGCCCAATACAACCGGATGGGATGTGCAGACCTCCTCGGAGGTCAGTCCCGATGGACGGGCCTATCGCACCGAAACTCTCGCCAAAACAGATGGTGAGTCCTGAGATCCTGAGAGGATCCTTTTTCCTTGGTGGTAGCTCCTTTTTGTCTGGCTAGCACCAAAGCTGACCAAAAGAGACATTTGCTGGAAGTTTACTGACTGACTGGATTAGAATGGTTTAAATAATGCATAAATAAATACCTGACTTATGGAAAGTAGTATTGGTAATCATATCAAATATGTTAGTTTTTGATGGTCTAGTTGAACGCAAAGTAAAAACAAGTAAAGAAAAGTAAAAAAAATTGTTGGGTTGCGTTGTAAAGATACCTTGAGTCATAAATCGTAGATAATACATTAATGATTCTTTGGGTTCCGTTGAAAATATACCTTAAGTCATAAATATAAAATAGAAAATGCATTTATGATTCGTTTGTCTTTAACAAAACCTAGAAACCATACCACTCAGTCGACAGAGTTTGCAGCAGTGTCCAACCAACCTAACCCCCATGTCCCTTGTCGGTGAAGTTTTGTGTATAACCCAATTCTGTTTGTTCTGTATGTCCATGTCCACCACTCGACCTCCCACCCAACGACCTCCGAACACCCCGAACACACAATCGCAGGCGTGGAGAAGCTCAATGGTGGTGGCCTGGCCGAGTTCAAAGGTCGCAACGAGCAGCGCTCGAGTGCCTCGCACCAGGGCGATGACAAGAACTTTGTGAAGCAGGCGTCGGATAGCTCGAAGACCCAACTCCAAGAGACGGTGGTCTTTGGGGACGAGACCAGCGGTCGCACCGAGATGAAGATGAGCTCCACCTCCACCTCGTCCTCCTCCAAGGTGGTGTCCTCTTCGTCCACCGTGGAATACGGTGATGACCCGCGATATCTGCTGGATAGCCAGGAGAAGAAACCTCAGCAGTCGCAGCACCAACGGGATTGGGAGCAGGATCAGAGGCGTCAGGAGCAGCGCATCCAGGAGCAAATGCAGCGACAGGAACAGCTGATCCGCCAGGAGCAGCTGCAGCGTCAGGAGGAATTCCAACGACAGGAGCAAATCCAACGCCAGGAGCAAATCCAGCGCCAGGAGGAACGATTCTCGGAGAGCCGCGAGCAGAGCAACAGCACCCGAAATGTCCAGACCCAGCAGCATTACGAGGAGAACAAGCGCTATGTGGATATGGACAAGGCCTCGCCGGAATATCAACGCCATGTCCAACACCTGATGGAGCAGCCCGGCGAGATTATCTCCAATACGGTGGAGTATCCCAAGCCGAATGTCAAGATGATCACCACCGTTAAGCGTCTGCCGGACGGAACCATTGTCAAAAATAAACGCTACGAGACGGAGCAGCTTACTCCCAGCCAGGGTCAGACAACCCACAAGCAGACCAACAACCAAACCCACAACCAGACCCACAATCAAACGCGCAATCAAACCCACAACCAGCGACGTGCACAGGATGTGCAGGATAGTCAAGTGCGCGATGTGGTGGACAATGTGGAGCAGAAGCATGTGACGGAGTCGCAGAGCTTCTCCTCGGTGAAGAAGTCCAGCCGTCGTTTCTCCACGGAGACCACTTCGGAAACCGTCGAGGAGTACGATGATCGTGGCCAACCCTTGTCCAGGGTGGTGCAGAAGGCACCGGCCCCCACACCCTCATATGCCCAGTCGCCGCCACACTCTCCACGTCAGTCACCGGCCAGTGACTTCAGTACCCACGGTTTCCCCTCGGTCCGTCCGAATAAGCCCACCCAGGAGTATGCCTCTCAGAGACCAGCCGCCGCTGGCGAAGAGGTGGTGGTGGTGCGTTCGGAGAAGAGCCGCCAGGTGAAACAGCAGACCAGTTCACAGCGCACCACCGAAACGGAGGTGCTGGGTGATGATTATCAGCAGCCCCAGAGGTCTCCACAGAAGCTGAGGGAGGCGCCATCACCTAGCTGGGAACAGCCCAGCACCCCGAGGCGTCAGCAGGTGGATGAGGATTTCAGCACCCATGGTTTTCCCTCGGTGCGAACGACCATCAACACCACAACAACTCGTCCTGATCAACCCGACGGCGAGGTCTTGCACACTTCCAAGACGGTGAGTCGCAATCAGAGCGCCAATCGCAAGACGAACACGGAACGGATCATTGAGACGCAGGTGGAGCATCCGCATGCCCACTCCACTCCCAGATCGGGAAGTCCGCGTCGATCTCAGCCACGTGAGGATTACGGAAGCCAGGGTGTGTCCTCGCCTCGTGGGCCAGCCGGCAAACCGAGTCACTCACGTCCCAGCACCACTGGAGGTAGCACAACCTCCAAGACCACCACCACCACCACTTCGGAGCCATTGACGCGGCGTCAGTTGCAAAAAGAGCGCGAGGTGGATGCCGCCCATCGGGCTTTTGCCGCCTCGCTACGAAGCAGTTCGCCGGCGGACAGCACCACCTCGGTGGGCTCACACCACCAGACGCCGCGTTCGAGCGTCTCCTCGAATCGTACCTTCCGCCGGGAGATGCGTGAGGGATCGCATGACAGCCAGGCGCCATCGGAATCGAGCAGGATTAGCTCGACCACTGTGACCAGACATACGGGTGGCACCACCAGCAGCAGCAGCACCACCAAGACCAAGACCACCAGGCCGGTGAAGAGTCCCAGTGAGCCGAGGTCGCCCACGCCGAAAACAGGAGGAAATGTGATCACTACCACGACCACAACCACTAGCAGCACCATCAAGTCCAGTCCCAGTCCAGCACCAACTTCACCCACTTCAGCACCAGCCAGTTCCGCACCACCAGGTACGAATTAGAGAACAAAAATTAAAGATTGAAAACTTCAATTAAAAAATGAAACCACATGACTATATGCTATATAAATATTGGAACTATGAACTATGTATATGAATGTATATCCTTCAGATAACAAGCTATCACAGTATACGTATACTACCACTAAGCCCGGCGATATATTCTCTCTGCCACCAACTACTCCTCCTACTATTAACAACGAACCAACACTAACCTCCACCACCACCAAAACAACAACAACAACCACCACCTCCAACAACCAGAACCACCCGAAAAAATCTGCAAACGAAACCGCTACCGCTACCGATACCGCTACCGATACCGCTACTGATACCGATACCGATTCCCAGCCGATCCGCAAGGTGAAGCTGAGCGCTAATGAGGCAATGGTGGTGGAAGAGGCACCCTGTGTGCGGCGTCAATATTACCAACTGGGAAACGAGGGGGAAAACCCCGAGACGAACGAGAGCTCAGGGACCCCTGGTAAGGCTTGATTTCAACCACTCCCCGAAAATTGCCAAAATAAATTTAAAAACAAAAATCAAGAAACTCTGTACACCTAACTATGCTATATCTATACTTCTTTATTTTTTTGGATTTGTTTGCAAATAAATATACTTGAAAACTGTTTACCAAAACCGCAACTCTGAAATGTTCAATGTTCCTATGTCTTGACCAAGCACCACACAAACTGAATTTGCACTGAATCATTGAAACTGGGAAGCCAACTGGGTTGCAGAATGAGAAAATGATCTGTGGCCCTAACTACTCTACTACTCAAAGTCTAACATTTTTTCCTCTCGAGCTTTCACTAATGGGTTTATTTGCCATTGCCTGAGACTGAGCTTGTGCCCGTGCCTGCCTAATCCTGTAGAAATTGCCTAACCTCAGTAGCTGAAGCTGCTGAAACTTAGTTGTAACTAATCCTAACCAATTAACAAGGGCTATGCCATAGTAGACACAACTTATGTACACCGTAGCACACACCGGTTGTAGAAGTTTTCGAGATCACGTAGCGCCTTGCGTTCCCCAAGTCTTATGCCCTGATCCGTTGCAGCCGGCCAGAAACCCCAAACAAAGAGGAGGCCCCACGACGAACCGGAGCATCAGCCTCAGCTGAGGCGTAGCTCCAAGTCGCCCAGTGTGGAGCCACGTCCGGTGCAGCGGGAAATGACTTTCGAGGGTCGACGCATCTCCCAGCCGGAGGATCAGCTCTCGATCGACGAGCTAATCCTCATCGAACAGATGAGCGGAGCTCCGGGCTTGCCCACGCGGCCTGAGAAGCCATCAGCTAGGGATCAGAGTCCGCAGAAACCATCACCTAGGGCTCAGAGTCCTGGAAAACCATCAGCTAGGGCTCAGAGTCCCGAGAAGGGTCCTGGATTGCCACAACCTAGGGCAACTCCCAGACAAAGTCCTGAAAAGGAGCAGCCAACCTTTAAGCAACCGGGTGAGGTAACGACTCCTAGCCAGTTTGAAAAGCATTTGCCCCAGGGAAGTCCTGGGAAGACTCCTGGGTGGACTCAGCCCCAAGTTTCACCACGACAAAGTCCCGAAAAGCAGTTGCCTCAAGCGCAAAGTTCCGAGAAGGCTCCTGGTGTTGGCCAGCCCAGTGTTTCTCCACGTCAGACTCCCGAGAAGCATATACCCCGACTTACCCGTGTTTCACCCCGGGAAAGTCCTGAGAAGCAATTGCCCCAGGAGATTCCGGTGAAATCCCGTCAAAGTCCGGAAAAGGAACTCTCCAGCCAACAGAAACGAGAGGAGGAGATGTTCCGTAGCACCATTACCACTACACAAAAACGAACAACCAACAATTTAAACGAAGAATTCATAACGAACGAACGAGACACTCAGAATCAGCCGATCTATGAAAAGAAACCGCAGACCACCGCAGGTAAAGATGAACCGATGCAAAAGAAGCCGCAGGAAACCATTGAGAGTCCAGATGGTGGATTTATCTCTAAAGCAACTGAAGTTGAGACCCAGCCCGAAGAAAAAGAGGCTCCTACTTATCGCAAGAAGGGTTTGACTCGTCGTGAGACCTTCGAAGATCGATGCCGGCAAATTTTGGGCATGGAAGAAGATGGCGATACTCAGGGAACTTATACTCAGCGCCCGAATGACGATCAGGAAACTGAGAATGTTACACACACAACCATAGAGACCATCGAAGTAAAAATTGAAGATTGCCCTGATGATGATGACGATGATACGCCCCGTCGCGTGACTGAGACATTTGTGGTGCGTACACAACCGAAAATAAAAGTGGAGGAGGAACTTCTCGTCGATATTACAGAGCCAGAGGGTGTGGAGATTCTCACGACTCCCTCCAAAAAGGTACCCAAGGAAGGCGATGGCCCTAAACATCCAAAGGCGCAGGAGATTCCTAGGATTCCCAAGAAGGAGCAAGAGATTCCTAGGAATCCCAACAAGGAACAAGAAATTCCCAGGACTCCAAAGAAGGAGCACACTCCTTCTTATGTGAATGAAGGAGAAACCCCCAGACATCCCAAGGACCTAGATAAGCCCATGCACCCAAGGGAGCAAAACAGTCCTAGATATCCGACGGATCCAGAAAATGTTGGGTATCCCAAGGAGAGCCCCAGGAATCCCAAAGAGGATGCCGAAACGATTAACATCAATGAAGAAGCCACCATTGTCATAAGCAAACAAGGTTTCAAATCTCCAACCTGGTCACCTTCTACCAAACGTAGGGCTCCAGAGAAGTCGCCTTCCCCTACTGCATCACCATCCCTGTCTCCTGCTTTTGGGAGAAAAACTCCAACCAAGCTAGAGTCGAGCTTTGTGACCGAGAAAATAATCGATTGTCAAGAAAAAACTATGGTTGAGAAAATCAGGCAGAGGCCTCGAACTCCAAGTCCTACTACACCCAAAAAGGGCACGAAGCCAACCGAAAAGCTGCCTGAAAAGGAAACCGAAACCGAACCGGAACCCGAAAAGGATTCTGAGCCCGAAACGAAGACAAAGACGACCGGTGTGTCCGTTACAAAAACTGAAACCGAACGCCGAAATTCGCGCACCACTAAAACAAAGCAAACTGTAGCGTCCAAGGAGCCACAATCCAAGCTTCCCGCTGCGAAGAGTCCTCGCAAGGATTCGCTGACGGGTCGCAAGAGGGACAGTTTGGTGGAGGAGACACGAACTACCACAACTGCCACAACAGTTCGGCAGGTTCGTAAGCCCAACGACATTAATGGTTCACCCTCCATTAAGGACCGTCTTCGTTCTTCGCCGCGCAAGCAAAAAACATCTCCCCAGCAGACCCGAACACCCACTCCGGCACAATCACGAAACCCAGAAGACGACGTCGATGGAGACTCCACATCTCCAGATGCCAGTCCGTCGAGGGTTAGTAACGAACGTCGTCGTTCTAGCAATATTTCCGTGCACACGGAGATCATCATAGATCATACGGCACCAAAATCCCCGAGAACGGAAAGGCGACCTCAAAATACCACTAATAGCGCTCCCAGCCCAATAAGAAAACTTCCAGTAACGGAGCGCAAGGAATCGGCTCCCGTGCCACGAGTAACTCGACGCGATAAAACCGAGAAGGTCACGCGCTCAACCAGCGAGAATATCATTAAGATGGGCGGTACTAAGCCTCATCCCGAGATGAGTAGCCTGAAGCCAGGTGGAGAAAGAACTCGACCCAGTAAATGCTGCACTACCAAGACGATCAATTTGAGCGAGCAGCGAATCAATACAGCCACTGATATAGAGGGTGTGATCATTGACATTCAACAGGCGAAGAGCTCTAGGGAACCATCTCCGGATAGGATTATACCAACGCCCGTGCCCGCTGAAGTGGAAACGGGAAAGCCACGTTATCCGGATGTGGTGCAGGAGCCCGATGATGAGCCCCGTCGCAAGCCACAGGTCACAAATATACCCATTTTCGAGGAGGAATCTCAAACCTATGTGGGTTGTCAGATCTCGGAGTTGCGGAGCTCAAATGGGTTAGAGGTGGATATCCTGGACAATCCCACAGTCGAGGCTCCCAAGAGCCTGGACTATCCCGTTAATACTCCCGATACGGATGAAAGTCTATTGAGTGTGCACGAGAAGGTCTCCCGATTCATTCACACCGCCGAAAAGGTAAAGCAACCGCGAGCTTCTGCCCCATTTAGCAGGGAGTTTGATACGCACGCCAAGATTCCTGAAAACGATGAATGCCTGCTAAGCATTAACCAGAAGGTAGACAAGTTCCTGCGCACTGCCGAGAACGTAATCAGGCCTTCTTCGCTATCACCTCGACCGGAGATTGAGCGCCCTGATCTGGAGGAGATCGATGAAGAGCTTCTGCGGGACGATTGCACCCTGAGCGTCTCCCAGAAAGTGCATAAGTTCATCGACACAGCCGAGAAGCTAGCACCTAGCATGCCCCAGAAATCACCACGCTTGGTGGCCAACATTGAGCGCCATATCTCGCGTCAGAGCGAGCCAGAACGAGAGTTGGACGAGGAATCAGAACCAGAGCTGGATCGGGACTCAGATGTAGAGGATGGAGACCAAACCAGCCACCAGGAGACCGAAGAGGAGGTCAGTCAAACTGTGACCAAAAAGCAAACCATAAGGGAATTCAAACAGCAAACAAAGGAAACCAAGGATACACGAAGGGAATCCAAGGAAGAGCCGGAAAAGGGACCCAAAAGAGTGCCCCAAAAAGAACCCCAAATGAGACTCAAAGAAGAGCCTGCCAAGGTACCCAAATATCAAGCAAAGCTACCACAAAAAGTGTCACAATGGGAGCCTAAAAAGCAACCTCAAAAAGAGCCCAAGACGCCTCAAAAAGATTCCCTTTGGGAACCCAAGAAGCAACCCCTAACTAAGCTCAAAGATGAACCTGACAAGTTGACTAAAAAAGAACCTAAGGTGCCACAAAAGGAACCCCAAATGAAGCTCAAAGAGGAACCTGAAACCAGTAAGGCTCCACAAAAGGAACCACGCAGGGATACCCCAGAACATTCCGAAGAAGAACCAGAATTCTCTCCTGAGGAAGAATTTGATGATGAGCCTCTCCCAATGACCAAGACACATACGACAGCCATCGAACTTAAGCGTCAGAAAGAAATCCTCAACCGTCCATCGGTCTTTGGCCAACGCAATCCAGAACGCAAGCCCAGCGCTACGCCGTCACCAAATAAGGTGAATGGAAATCGCGGTCGTCCAAGTCCTAGCACCAGCTTGATAACTGAAGAGAAAAGATCGTACAAGAATCAGGTGACCAATGTGAACAAGCCGGGCTCTAGAAAAAACACTCCTTTGGCCATTTCAACTGTCCACTCGCCGTCAAATAAGACAACGAGCATTTCCAAACGTATGGAGCAAATCAGTCAGCAGTCATGGGTAGTCCAAGATGTGGATGTGGACGTAGAGGTGGTGGGACCGGCACCACCTTCTCACATCAGCGAGAAGCCACAAGGAAAAAGCCCATCCCCAACGTCATCACGATCGCCATCGCGATCTCCCTCCCGATCGCCTAGTAGACGCACCTCTACCAATTTGAGCACGACCACTACCACCACCACCACCACCACTGAGCACCGCCACCCGAACACCACCAAATCAACCACTCCCAAACCGACTCCAACTAACCCTACCAAAGACGAACCCGAAATCACACCCATTGAATCCGTTACAGAAAAAAGCATCACCACCACTTACACGACGAACACCACTGGTCGAAATACGGCTAGCCGCAGAAATGTATTTGAGCCAATGCCAGCCCAGGAGACTCCAGTGGATTCCGAGCCCACTGGACGACGTCCCTCGTACATGGATCACACGAAGAGCTCACTAGAGCACATTCGACGCGATTCGCTGGAGATTAACAAGAGCCACTATTCCAGAAAGTCCTCCGTGGAGGATGATTCTCCGGCAGAGCCACGCAATCCCAACACATCCGTAAAGTTCGATGTGCCCAGGAAGACACCGTCGCGGGGTGGCGAAGAGCCAAGGAAGAGCTCCCTAAAAGGCAAAGATGAGGACTCCGACTTGGAACTGGAGATCGAGGAGATCTTCGATCTACAGCGACTGGAGAAACTCTTGGAAACAGTGGCAAGCTATGAAATGCGTCGTCGCATTCGCGCCCAGATGCGTCTCATTCGCAAGAACATGATCAATGCGGGTACGACAACCACCATCACAACAATAACCACTACCACAAGTCCCGGAAAAGGTTCTCCGCTACCCAAGAAACGCGAGCAGAGTCCTGTGGGCAGTCCTGAAGCAAAGACCACTGGCAGTAGCCTCAAGGAAGTGCGTACCACCACGAGTCGCCGTCGAGTGGAGCAGGTGGACAGCGCCACCACAGCCGCAGCAGGAAAAACCTCACCGCACGGCAAGCCGCCAGTAAAGCCAAGGGAAAGGAGTGCGAGTCCCGCCCAGAAACGGCGCAATAGTCCACCGGGAAAGCAATCTCCCGGAGAGAGAAGCACCACCACAACCACCAAGGTCACCACTAGTGGCACCACTCGCGGTGCTCCGAGCAAACTCGCTCAAGGACCCATTTGGGCAGATCGCTCTAAAGTGCTAAAGGGTCATGCAACCGTTCCACAACAAACAAATGGAAGTACTTCACGTAAAGGGTCCACCTCTAGCACCACTTCGAGCAGTGGAAGGATTACTCGCACATTGACCAGCTCCAGCACTACCACCACTAGCTCCAGTAGCACCACGAACGCACGCAACAAGCAGCGCGAAGAGGACTCGATCACCTCCAGTTATGGAGTGGGACCCACGGACGAGAACGGATTGCCCCTATTCGGAATTCGGGCGCTTAAGAAGAAAGTCACGCCACCGGTAGAGGAACCATGTGAGACCAAGCAAGGTGAGTGTGGATACATATATACCTTCTCCAATATACAATCTAACACACATCTCTTTCTATACCCAGAAATCACAGGCTATGTGATCGAGGAACAGTTCTACTCGGATAACAAGTCCCCGCCTCGTCACGAGCGCAAGGAGCTAATCTACTCCAGCAATGCTGACGAACTGGCTGCAATTAAGCAGCAACTTCACGATGAGGACGATAGCTCACCTCCGGAATTGGATGCCCGTGTGGTGCGTGAGTTCAAAAAGGTGGTAGCGCAGCAATCGCTACCGGATGATGCCAGATATGTGCGTCGAGGATCGGTTAAGGAGCTCAGCGAGAAGTTCATACGCAAAGAGTCCTCTTCATCCACCCACTCGACCCATTCGTCGACCGCCCAATCCGTGATGAGGCATGAGGATGAGACCGAGGAGGATAGCGAGTCCAACGAAGTGTGCAGTGTGATCGAGGCACCTCAGATGCGTCAGAATCAGAGCCACACCAGTAGTACCACTCGATCGAGCAACACAAGATCGTTCCTTAACAGCAGTGCCGATCAGCGTCAGGTGACAAGTGTGGACGATGTCCTCGAACGTATGCGAAATGCGGATAATGGTGAGAACTATAGAATACCCCTCTCAGTTTTTTGGAAAATTCCTACTGATATGTATATATTTTAACTTTACAGTGGAGGAGCCCGGAGATACAAGCGAGGATCGCGAGGCCCGTGCTCTGCTCAATAAATTCCTGGGCGCCAGTGTCATTATGCAGGGTGTGGAAAGCATGCTGCCGCCCACTGCCACGGGACAGCGTCTAAACAGTCAAGGGGTGAGTAAGGGAAGCACGTAGTTTTATTTACACTTTTCTAAATTATTAAAATTTTCCAAAAAATATGGTTTTAATGTGAAAAGCATTTTGGGTCAATATTTTTTGGCGATGCTCAATATGGCAGGCGAATATTTAAAGCAAGAATGGTTGGTATTCTGTCTACCCATGGCCGTGAAAAAATGACTTGCCAAGCTCTTTTCCATATGTGGTTGCATTTCAGAAAAAAACCGTATTTTATAACAGTTTTTGCAGCACTTGTTGCACGATTTAAGCACTCTTTGTTGTTGCAAGTGCCATGCAAGCATAACCTAACCTCAATGATGCGCGCAAGCACGTGCACGTGCTCGATTAACCGTTAACAGAGCGCGTGCTCTCGCTTCCCCTCGACCCGATCCACCCGCTCTCTTTCCTTTTGTGAGTCTGGTGTGCAACAACCGTTGCTCTCTCCCCACCTTTCACCCGTCCCGCTCGCACTTGTGCAATTGAGACTTTGGGGCATGGTGTGCCGTGTGCGTGATGCGATGTGCGAAGAGATGCGATAGATGCGCATTATGCTCGGCTGGTCAGAAAGCCACAAATACAGTGGAGGCAGAAAGAATAGTTCTTTAAATTTGTATTTATTTTTGGGTCAAATTAAAAAGTATTATTTAAATATATTGAATTACTTAAGAACTTTGTTCGAGTTTATATTTTTATAAATAAGAAGAAAGCATATTAAATTTATTCATTCATTAAGTCTCTTACATTTTTTAGATAGGAACAATCTCATGAAAAACTCATTAAGTGAGTCGAAGAATAGTGACTTTTCTATAATAAATAATAATAAAGTTTGACATAAACTTTAAGCAATAAAAAATACTGTTAAATCGTTTATGTTATGGTGCTATTTATAAAATTAGCATAGATTTCGTAAAATGCTATTTTTTCTACCGCTGCTGTGCAACGGGCATTAGCAGAGGCTGCGGCAGAGGCAGCGACGCTGGCAGAGACAAAAGCAGCGCATCTCGGCATCGAGATCGAAATTGTCAGTAGAAACTCAGAGGCGGCATCGATCACTTCACTTGTGCGAAGAACCACGGGCAAAACAGCTGAGCAAAAAGAAATAATAAAAGAGTGCCAAGCGAACCACTTGTGTTAACAAAAAAAATAAATCAAAGGAAAAAGAAAAGAAATAAGAGTAATAATAAGCAATAGAAGCGCATAACAAAAGACAAGTTTTGTAAATTTTTTTACTGTGCAGTTCTGTTATTTTGTTATCGTTATATGGTGAACGAACGCGAGTGTCCATATTTGGTCTAACAGCAACATCCCGAGAATCACGAGTAACATCAAAAACAGGGGGCCGAAGAAGCGCAGAGCAAAGCGTAAGTTTCATGTCACTTGTGGGGCAAGATGTTACAAAATGCGGTGGTTAGGGGGCGGGGAGGTGAGAGGGCAAATACTTTTGTCAATTATTTTTAGTGCGCATAATTTGCTGGCAAAACGAAGCATTCCTGTCACGACACCTCAAAAAAATGCACCTGAAAGGCGACGACACCGCCACAGCACTATAACATATACAAATAATATATATGTATGCATATGTATATGTATGTATATGTATATTTCTTTTTGAAAGATCTATATCCACCGATACATATAGCTATTTATATATGTATATATACTAAGAAGTCTACCGAGATACAGACACGCTCATCTTCCCAGCTATAGAGCAAATAAATAAATAAATACATTTAAAAACAGAGCAGAGAGCAGGAGGAGCGATGAGGATGCATGAATGAGAGCGTCAAGCGTACGGAAAATTTCGACAAAAATAGCTCCAACGACGGGCACTATTTTTACGGACTATACGGACTATACGGACTATTCGGACTATACGGACTATGTTGGAGCATTTTTGGGCAACACAATATGGTCGAAGGAGGAGCGGCAGGAGGGACAGGAGGGGGCGGTGGGCATTTTGGGATGGTGCATGTGCAGCGGACTCAGGCATCTGATGTTCCCGTTTCCTCCACTTGAGTGAACCAAATACCGATTCCCAACGATATACTCGTATTCCCCACAACTGATGCTAGAAATTTTCGTAGATATCTGGGATATCGGACGAAGCTTTGTACATATATCAAATCCTCTTGGAGAAGATAAGGCATAATATCAATATCAATATCAATAACATATCCTGCAATCAAATAACAAGGTTCTCCCTTTTTTCGACTTCTTATTTTTATATTATGCACCCGTAGAAAACGTCCTATTTTTATAGAATTTATATTTAACTTCAAAGAATTTTTTGAATTGCAAATTTCGAATGTTTAGGTACCAAAATAAACGTGTTGGTCGTAAAGTTTTGTAGTTCTTAAAGGAACTAGATAGACAAGGAGACGTAAGTTGAATATAATTTATGGAACTTAAAGTCTTTATTTAGGATCTACAAAACAACTTTTGTACACTACGATTATAATTATGTAGCAAAGTTGGCCAACTATAGTTGGCATAAAAAAATTTTATAGAATTAGTACATTATGGTGGGTCAGCTTCTATTTTCGAAAACCCTTAATAAATAATTAATTTAAACGATTTGTTGTCATATTGTCGCCACTTAAAGTTGGGCTTGCTGATGTACACTTTACAATGCAAACTCCACGGATCCCCGATTCCAGCCAATCGAACTGGAACGTAGAGAAATGCCGTTTCTGTTTGCCATTTTCAGGTGTGCTGTGCTGCTGCCCCTGTACTTAGTTGAGCGTAACATGCAGAGCGGCAAATCCTCAAACGCCGCCTCTGCCTCTGCCACTGCCTCCCAAATCCCCCAAGCCCCTAAAGTCCCCCTTTCAGCTCACCAACTCTGCGTTCGGTGATTAAGCATCGCCTGCTGGAGCTGCTGCAAGTGCTCAGAGTTGGGGAGCCGGTTTCCATTATGGCCGTATCACACTAAGTTGGAAATATGGCCATAAAATACTAGCAAACATTAACCTCTTCAGAGTCAAATATATTCCATATTAATAAAATCAATGATTTTTTATGTTACGAGATAACATATTTTGTAAAAAAAAAAATTTTTTAATTATTTGAACATGCTTCAAATCAAGCTGATTTACATTATAGTGTGATTTAATATATATAACCATTTTTACACTTAATGCTTGGAGTAAAATAAAAATAATAAGCAACATTCAATCAAAATAAGTTTTGCTATTTTCAATAAGTACTTCTGTTTACATAAGAGTTCACAAGCCATCTATTTCATTGCTGACTTAAGTAGACTCAAAATATTGTTTTAAAATCGTTCGGGATAATAACTTAAGCCCTGACAGAAACCAAACAGCTGAAACAGTGGAGCTAATCTAACACAAAATGTCGAATAATGATGTTATTTCTCGCCATAGAAATCCTCATATGTATATATTTGATTTTTTTTAAGATGCATGTTGCAGCCTATACATGTAGTGTATATCCCGCATATCGTGCTTTGTCAAACAGTCTTAGCTGCGACTCCCATCGCTCCAATCATTTTTTGTTGGCTGCTCTTCCTGCTTTCTGGCGTTTCATAATCGCTGTGTGTGCGTGATGTGTTCGGCTGTATCGCCTTTGTCTTTGACTCGCATTTTGCATGTCAAATAATTTCTCATTTTGCGCGAGCTAAAAATACAAATAACAACACAACGGATAACAAATGAAAAAAAATCGAAAACGAAAGCAAGTCAATTTGAAAACGCAAAAAGAAAATTATTATTCTTTCTGCATGGAAAATCGGGTACATTTTTTCTTCGTGTGATTGGTTAAGTTTTTTTTCTTTAGGCGGCGGTCACTACTGGTCCAATTGTTGCCAAGTACTAAAATACGCTGAAAGAAAAAATGGTTTTAAGAATTAGGTATTACAGAAAAAGAAAAACTAGTCTGATTTTTACCACTAAATTTAAAGCTTACTCCAATTTTTATAAATATCTTTAAAAATATAGTTTTTAAGTATGGAATTGAATACATTTTAATTAATATTTATTCATGAAAAAATATTTAATTTGTTGTTGCTCTTAGTGATTTGTAATATTTGTTGCTGTAAGGAAAGAAAATATATATAAAGAATTAGATGAACTTTTAAATTGTCCTTACATTCATTTAAGTTTATATTTTAAATATTAACTTAAAATTTATTTTATACTTTTTGCGTAGGCTTCATCCTTATTTAAATTGAGTTCAAGTTGTTATCTAAGATTTATTTTCAATTAATTAAGTTTCTGCTCTTTTATATAATTTTTTTGTAGCATTAAAAGTATTTGTTTTTTGTTAAGTTCGTCATAACAATAAAAAAAAAACATTTTTTTCCATTTTAAAATTAAAACAAGTTTTTGCGTTGCTCAAAAATGGTCCAAAATATTTATGTAGATTGGTTGGCAGAGCAAACCACACAAAATGTGAGTTTTGTAGTTTTTAAAAAAGATTAAAGTACAATATTTATGTGTGCCACTTTTCGGCAGTGTCTGGCTGGCTGTACAAATTGGTGGCCATCAATCAAAAGGCTGTCTCTGGCCCATTCCGCAATTTCGCCATTATTTCGGGCAGTGTCAAAGCCGAAAAAAGACAAGTGTTTTGACCACCAGCAACAGTCAATGGCCAAGTGCAGCGGCAAAAAACATCGACTAACTGGCAATGATCGCTCTGGTCAGCTGCACTCCCCATTTCCCCCGCCCACCGAGTCTTTTTAATTGTTTTCTTCTTGCAATTTCCATTTTGATTTCCATGCTTGGATTGCTGCCCCTCTATTTGTTACGCTTTGGCGGAATTGCGCCAAATAGTTGGCAAGCTTTTTCAGTCCCCCAAAGCGAAAATAACCAACAATAACAAATGAAATTATTAAAAATAAACCGAAAGCGAATGAATAAAATTCAAATTAAACTAAGTCAAATTAGTAGAAAATTTTTTTGTATTTTGTGGCCCACATTTTGACAACAATAACAAATGCTGGCGGGAATTGTAAAAATGTTTGCCAATTAATTTTGGTTTGGTTGTTGTTGTTGTTGTTTTGGTACACTTTGTTTATACGACAACAAAAATATTATATAAAGTTTGGCCCAAAAGAACAACGAAGGAGAAAGAGAGAGAGTGAGAGTGAGAGGAAAATATGAGAAACTTTTCCTGAAATATGGTCGACCCGTTCGTTGGTTGTGTGTGTGTGTGTGTGTGTGCCCAAATAATTTATAATTATAAATAGCAACGCGTGTTGCAAGAGGAAGAGCGGGGGCGTTTTCAAGCATGGTGGAAGTCAGTTTTTCAAAACGAAAAAATTTCCCATGACGCTGACCAAATTTGGTCAAATAGTTGTTTATATCAACTACCTTTTTATATTTGGCCAGAAGCAGAGAAAGAGAGCAAGCAAATACAAAATATATATCGTTTCGGCCTTTGCGTTGCCTTTATGCCTCAATGTTTCATCGGCAAAAAATTGCAGGCCAAGGCGGCGTATACTTAATTGCACTCAATATATCTATAAAGAAATTTACTATATGTATGCAGCAATATTTGGCATCAATTCAGGGGTCCATAAACGCTTTTAGCTGAGTTATCTGATGAGCTGTCCGCCGGCACAAAGAGAAATTTTTATTAGCAGATTTTTCTTCTAAACCAATTAAAATGAGTTTTTGCCATAAATTCGAGGATAACATTTTTATTTTTATGTCGTTTTAGTATCAATGAGCTCTTGAGGGGAACGACTTAAGTATATTAATATTTGAAAAATCATTTAAGAATGGGAAATCTTAAATCTTAATTATTGAGATTTGTTCAAATAATTTTGTTTTTTTTTTACCTTTACATTTTTTTTAGCGGAATTTGCTTAACAAGTTTTTTCCTAACTGGTTGGTTACCTTTTGAGAACAATAAGACAAGAACAATGCTCGTTTCAATGCGATATTCCCCTTTGTTGTGTATGCTCTTACCTTTGGTCAACGTGCCGTATGCGCACTTTGTATATTTTACTTGGGCATATTACGCATACGACAGGTATGCAACGACATTGATCAACTGCAGGCGGATGCGGCAAGGGGGCTATGCAGCAAACAAATGCATGCGAAATCACGGCTAAGGACAAATTGTACTGACAAATTGATTTTTGTGGTTTCTGCCTTATCACGGCCATCGATCGAACAAGGTGGCACCAAATTTTTTTTTGGCAACTCTTGGCAAGTGAATAATTGCGCTGGCTGGCGTGGTTTCGGTGGCCGGCGAATGTGCTCATCGTGCTTTATTTAGCCAGACCCCAAACAGCTGGCGTTTGTTTCTCACCCACACACAAAAATGAAACGAAATTTTCCGGTTGATAAACAAAAAGCGAAAAGAAAGGAATTGAACGCTTGTTCTGATCTCCGTCAAATCTTCTGCTCTCCCATTCTTTTAGGTAAAGCCCACGCGGATAACCAACACGTACAGCAAATCCGGCAATAGCACCACCAACAAGGTCAGCAGCTCCTCAGCACCAGTTACACGCACAACTTGTGACATCGAGGAGATTTGGGACGAGCAAATCCTCAAGCAATTGGTAAGTATTGTCCAATGCTGATCCTAGAATCCAAGTCGTGCCATCCAAATCAATACGTTCAATCAACCATCATCCATCCTCGAACGCTTCCAGCTGGAACAGGCGTCCACCTACGAGGAGCGTCGCAAAATCCGTGCACGTCTACGCGAACTTATGGCGGAACGCGAAGGTGAGTGCCCCTTCGTAATACCATATCTCCGTAATATCCCCCATACAAATAAAGCCAGCGGATTAGCCCAACACTTCATCAACAGCGGAGACGCCAGAGAGCTCCGGCACATGGAAACACGCAGTGATATCGAGACAAAACCGTCTCAATATTGTGTTCTGTATCTGTATCTTGTAGATAATGCGCACAGCAACTAGATAGGCAGGATAAGGTGAAGTCTTTAGGACCAAAGTTAAAGCGTTTATCCGATTTCTTTCGGTTACCATTAGTCTGCAGGTATTGAACTACCCAGCGTTTTGATCTTGGTCATGTCCATTGTTCCTTCCCAGTCGATGAGCATTTATCGTTTCCTTGTCGCGTTCCACACATCGTTATCGTTGAAGTGCCATTGTTTCTATCGTTACTTTGTTGTACTATCTATCGTTCAATGTTGTCGTCGCTCAGTGAATGTCTCACGTCGAAGACCCACAAATAATTGGAATCGATCCATTGTACTCCAAGAACAAGTAATCGATACACCAAGTCTGCTATCGTTAATTTGTTTGCATTATTTTCTATGCTCAGGTGAGCGAATCCGGGGATATGGGATATCTCAAAAGCCTGCGAGGCCCTATGTTGTCCAAGTTTTCGAGATATACTCAAATATCTGATCTTATACATTATTCAAAAAGTTGTACACCCTAAAGTAATAGGGATTCGATCAACTGAGCTATTTCCGTTTAAAAATTGCAGATCCCTATCTGAGTTTTTGTATTGCTTGATTGCGTTCTCGTTGCGAGTCTTAAGTCTTTTGCACCACTTTCTCTATCTCTCTATCTATCATCTCTCCTTTATCTCTTGACTTTCTTTGCTGCGGCAAGCAGAGCAAAAGAATTTGAAGCAGGCGCCGAAGCAGGAGAAGAAGGAGGAAGAGGAAAGCAGCGCCAGCGAGTATGAGGAGATCATCGAGGAGGTGACCGACTACAGCGACGAGGAGGAGGAGGACGAGACGGCAGTGCCGGCAAAAAGCGAGGATCCCAAAAAGGAGGTCACCAAAAAGGAGGTGACCAAAAAGGAGGTCACCAAACAGGCAGAGGTCAAACAGAGCGCTGTTCAAAAGGTTGAAAAGACGGAGACCAAGACCAAGACCACTACCAGCCAAGTCACCGAAAGTGTTAGCAAAAAGCTGGCCCAAGTGGAGCTGGCCAGCTCCTCGACCACAGACGGCGTTCAGGTGCAGCAGGGTGAGTCCCTGCCAGCGGCAACAACAGCAGCGAAAGCAGGAGGACCAGGCACCAGCAGCAGCAACAGCAGTAGCATAGGTAGTAGGAAACCCAGTAGTCTTAGCAGTAGTCAGGTTAGCACAGTGGTTAGGGCCAGGGACAAAGCCAAGTCGGATACAATGCCAGTCACGGGATCTGGAGCAGGAGCAGGAGCGGGAGCAGGAGCGGGAGCAGGAGCGGGAGCAGGAGCTGCAGCGGGAGCAGCCAGCATAGCCAGCACAGCCAGCCGCTTGAGCGTGCCTTCGAAAGAGGATTCTGGCACGGAAAGTGGTGAGGATTTGCGTCTGCTAGCCGCCGGATTGCGTGACACCTTGCAGCAGCGCAGTGGTAGCGATGCCAGTGAAGCGAATCGCAGCCTGGTCGAGGAAGTGACCGATGCCCTCAGCCGCCTGGAGAGCAGCCTGAAACAGGGCAAGGAACTAGCCGTTGATGGGGGCCAACGGCAGGCTCTGCTCGGCCTGGTGGCTCGCCTCCAGAGTGGACTCAGTGCGCCCGAGAAATTGGCGGACGATCAGCGGCGGGTGGGGGAGGATCGCCAAAATGACGCTGATGCTGGCAGTCCGGAACCGGAAACGGATAGCCGGCAGTCCCGATTTGCCAAGCGACGCCAGCGCAACAGTCGTCACACCGTTGGCGTGAGTCGAGAGGAACTGGCGGATGCGCGACGCTACATGGAGGACATGCTAATCCTGGAGGGCAAGGACTTTGCCCTCACCAAGACCCCAAGTTCGAGTGCAGTGCCAGTGCAACTCTACCGACCCAATCAATTTGTGGCCCAACCTCCGCAGCAGCAGCATCAGCAGTCAGTCATTATACCACCCAATGTGGCCAATGCGCCCGTAAATCCCACCCAGAATCAATCTCAATTGAGACCTAATTCCAACACCAACCGACGTCCACTTTCCGGTGATTATGCCGTGAGCTTTGCCAGCTATGAGGCGAACCAGAATTCACAGAACTCAAGTCCGGAGGGCAACGGGAATTCCCCCAGCAATTCGCAATCCAATTCGAACTCCAGTTCGAATTCCAGTCGATTTGGTGGCGGCAAAAAACACTTGATGAAGCGAGCCAACACCATTGATATACCCAAGGCTAAGGCCAAGTACATGGCGGACTGTGATTCGGATTCGGATCTGGAGGATGATCATGGTCCGCATTTGGGTTTGAAAAGGGCGGTGCAGGTGAGCGTAAAGCGACGCGTTCACAACGCGGTGCCGCCGTTTGAGCCAAAAACCGAGAACGATCACAAGTTTTTGGCCTTCATCAACAAGCAGAGTCATCAGACTGGCTTGGGTTGGGGTGGCGGCGGTGGACGAAGTGTCTCGAACTGGACCCACAAGTTTGGCAACATCAAGCACACCTTTGAGACAGGGGCTGCGGCCACGGTGACCAAGGGTAAGCCGCCACCAGTGCCCGGTCATGTGCCCGGATGGGCCAAGCAGGAGCAGCTGCATCATCAGCAATTGCAGCGAGAGCAAATGCAGCGAGAGCAGATGCAACGAGAACAGTATGAGAGGGAGCAACGGCAGCGTGAGCATAGGGAGCTAAGTCAGAGGGATCTGAAGCAGATACAGCGAGAGCAACAGCAACGGGAACAATACCAGAGGGAGCAAGGCCAGCGAGACCAGAACCAACGAGAGCTCTCCAAGCGAGAACAATTCCAGCGAGAGCAGCTCCAGCGTGAGCAACTCCAGCGCGAGCAGTTGCAGCGAGAGAAACTACAGCGCGAGCAACTGCAACGAGAACAACACCAGCGAGAGCAACTCCAGCGAGAGCAACTCCAGCGCGAGCAACTTCAACGAGAGCAACTGCAGCGCGAGCAATTGCAACGCGATCAACTCCAGCTCCAGCAGCAACAACAAGCTGCTGCCGCAGTGCAAATCGAGCGGCAACGTCGCCAGGAATTAGAACGACAGCTACGACTCGAACAGGAGGCGCGATATGAACGAGAGGAGCGAACTCGCCTTGAACGGGAATACTACGAGCAGCAATTGCAGCGACAACAGGCCGAAAGGCAACAGCAATTGGACAGGCAACGCCAGCAACAGGAGCAACTGGAACGCCAGAGACGGCAGGAAATGGAATTGCGACTTCAGCAACAGCGTGAACAGGCCGCACAAGTCAACAACTTTATACACGCTCCCCAGTCCGTCTTTCGTCCCATCGAAAATGAGCCGCAACCGCAGCCGGGTATTTACAAGCCCGTTGCCCAGAAATCACAACCCAATCCGGCCATTTGGAAGCCACCCACGCAACAGCCACCGCAATCACAGCAACATTTGCAGGCCAGATCGGCCACGTCGTATAGCAATACACCATCGCCATCTTCAACGGCCACTTCACCCATCGGTTTGCCCTGGGTGGCTAAGCCCAAGGTGGATAACAGTGATTTTCGACGGAAAGCGCACCATTTCGAAGAAAGATCTTTAAGGGATAATCTCGAGCAACAGCAGCAGCAACCATCCTATCCCAATGGCAATCCAGGTTATCTACAGCGACACAATTCCCTGCGTTCCAAGGCACCAGCGTTAAGTGAGTTCAAGAAGAGACCATCGCTGCCAAATGCCATGGAACCGGATACAGTTGCACCACCCAGACAGGTGTATCAAGCTCCACCGCCACCCACAAATATATCATTTACGTACGCTGATTTTCCGCCAGTGAGACGTCAACAAGGCGGCAATGCTCACAACTACAGGAGTCAACCTTGCCTTACAAGTGCTGTGGAGCAGGCCGACGCGTTGACCAATCCTCTGGCAGCGCCTCTTGTACTCACCAGCTCAAATCCCACCTATCTGCCCCCAGCTGGAAGCAGAAGATTCGATTTCATAAGCAGTCCTATCGATGTGGACGTGGACAGTCCACCCAACAGCCCCACGAGCTTCATGACCATGCCCAATCCCACTCTGATGACGGATAACACGGATGATGATCTCGATCTGGATTCGGATAACAACATGCTAGAGTATCGAGCCGAAACGAAGGTAATGCGAAAGCCACGTAGTCAGACAGCTGTGAGAGTGGCGGACAGAAGAAACGCTCATATGAGTGATGACGAGGTTTACGGTAAGAATTCAAGGGCGGCCAAGTCCTTGCTGTACACGATGAAACAGCTGGGAGGTGGTCCAGGTAATCAACCTGTGGGCAATAGCAACCAAAGAAGACAACCCTTGACGGCTCCCAGCTCGCCGAAATCTGGTTGCCTTTCGCCCGATGGTCGTCAGTACCAGGCACCTCTGGTGGAACCACTCTTCCCGCAATTGAGCACATTTGAAACCAAGCGACAGCCACAATTTACCAATTCACCAATGTCCACATCGCCTGCAGTCAGCATGCCACAGATAAATTACCAAGCGAACCCCACCTATACACCACCAAGAACCAATCAGGATGCCAACTCCTATTTGGGTGAGACCCATACCTCCTATGTGGTCACCTATCCCGTGGACGATTCCGGCGATGAACCCGAACAGGAATCGATGGCCATGTCTGTGAGCCAGCGATTGCGTCGCACTTCGGAGCACTCGAATGCCAGTTCTTCGCTTTCATTGGGCAGCACCAGTTGGACAGCGAATCCGGTGCACCATACAGTGCCCACGGTGGGTTCCATGGGACCTCCAGTGGATCGCAGCACCAAGCCGCAAATGAGTCAGCAAACGGGACCAAAGATGACTCAGCAGGCTCCCCAAAAGAAATTGCCCCAGATGCCTCAGCAGGTTCTTCAGCAGGTTCCTCATCAGATCCCTCAACAGATTCCTCAACAGATCCCTCAACAGATTCCTCATCAGATCCCTCAACAGATTCCTCAGCAGTTACCTAAGCAGTTGCCTCAAGAGCAGCTACCTAAGCAGTTGCCTCAACAGCAGCTACCCAAGCAGTTGCCTCAACAGCAGCTACCCAAGCAGTTGCCTCAACAGCAGCTACCTAAGCAGTTGCCTCAACAGCAGTTACCTCAACAGGTTGCACAACAGTTGCCTAGGCAATTACCACAAGAGATTCCCCAGCAGATACCACAACAACTGCCTCAACAGATGCCTCAAAATACAGCCAGCAATGTAGCTAGACATGCTCCCAGGTTAAGTTCGCGTAGTCACACCATCCAGGGAGATTCCGGCTACGATAATCGTCCCCTGCAGAATCGTGTGATGTCACAGCAAACTCTTAACTCCAGCATTGTCAGCAGCAAGAACAGCACCACCGTTCAGAAACAGCAAAAGGAGCAGCACATCAATGAGCTGCGTCGCAAGAGTCTGGGCAATGTCCTGGAGAGCAGCCAGAGAAGTACCTACTTTGAACAGGAGTACAAATCGTCGGCACCGCCCGATACGCCGGATATAGTTAAATCTTCGCTGCCCAAGGAGGATGCACCGCTGCTGAAGAAATTTGGTCCACCACAACGTCATCACTACATGCCCAATTCGTATCAGAGTCCGCAGCTAAATAAGCCGGGAAATAGCAGTGCCAGTAGCAGTAGCACCACCACCACAATAAGCAGCACCACAGTGGTGCAACAGCAACATCAGCATCAGCAAATCAAGCCGAGCATTGTGGAAACCCCGGCGACACCACAGCCACATGTACCCCCCGAGGATGAGATACCGCACAACATAGTGTTCAACAATGTGAGCGCCTTTACCTCGATGAGCAGGAGGAATCACGAGGAGGATTCGCACCAGGGAACACAATCGGGATCGCGGGTGAATCGGCTGAGCAAGTGCGATTCGTGGAACCAAATCTGCCAGCTGCAACAGACGGCGGGTCCCAGTCCGGCGAAATACAATCAACCCGGATCTCCCGGCGAACTGAGACGCTCCAAGTCCGGCCACTCGCTGGCTGTGCCGAAGCTCTACGAGGCGGGCATCGACAAGGCCCAAGTCAGTGAGAAACAGCGAACGGTGGCTGCCTACTTCTCGGGTCAAAAGTCACCAACTGAGGTCACCACGGTGACCTCAACGACATCGAGTCGAAAATCGGCCATCAATCGCACCAAAACGAGTGAAAAACTCTCGGCGGCAGCTCGAAAATCGCTTAGCTCGCTGACGACATCGAATGGTAATGTTTCCACCGCCGGTCTGGGCTTAATCCGTGCTGGTGGTGCACCCATGATGGGTGGTGGCCTCAGTCGCAGCGCCACCATGCCGCATATCGCGAATCTCAACCTGCTGGACGAGAGCAATGTGGAGGATGCCTTCGAGCAGCTAATGATGGGTGCCTAAAATTTACAAATAAAAAACATAAACAAATAACAAACAGTCCAGCCAACCACTCAACCACTCAAGCCAAGAATTTAACCCACCAAAAAAACAAAACATAAAGAAAATCAAACGCATTGAGGCATTCCAGTTCGAAACTGGATGAGAACATAATAACATAATCACAAAGAAAACAAAAAAAAAAACAAATGAAAAGCAAGAAAAGAAGATATACGAAATCGAATCGAAAAATCGACATCGAAACGGAATGATAACTGTAACTTGTAACGGCAACTGTACTGATTAATGTTTACTGATATACTCAAGCGCTACTGTTGAGCCTAGGATTAGCTTTGTTTTAGTGTTTAGCCCACCACCCAGAACCACCTACCCACCCCACTTTTCCTCACTTTACCCACCAAGTTCGAATTGAGTTTCGTGAAGCAGTTAGAAAAACGCGGATTACGATAAAGAGAAAAGCAGCAAAAGTTGAAAATTGAGGGACTACAGGCGGTTTCTATTTCCTTGTTTTTTTTTTCTCAATTTGTAAAACACTAATCACACACACACACACGCTGAAACGCGATAATAAACAAGTAAGATAAACAATTGTTTGCTGCACTGCGTCCCAAATGAAGCCCCAAACAACAAGAACAACAGCAACAACAACAATAGCAACAACTTGATCAATATTCCGAGATTTGTGAGTTAAATATGAAAAATATCAGATGTACAGAATGCCAGCCTTGAAAGCCCCCCATATTTTTCCCTTTATTTGCCAGCGCCCTTGCCCTGCCTTGACTACCAGAAAATAAAAGATAATAATAAATTCATAAAATATTGCTATACCGCCCAGCAGCAGCCTAACAGCATAAAAACCACACACATATGAAAACATACAGTCGCAATCTGAATAATGGTTTTATTAATATACTATTATTTTCTTCATTATAAAAATTAAATAAAAAGACATTTTTAAATTAAAAACCCCTTTAGTTTGCTGATTTTCAGCAAAAATATTTTATATTGATTTAAAGAATATCTCCATTGATTTACGTATACTTGATATTTAAATAAGTTTTCTAGTTACTTAAAACCTTTATTAAACAGACAAGTGTGTGTGTTTTATATTTGTGTGTACGTTTTTCTTGTACATATTTGTTTTGCCTGAAAGTTTTTACTTGGCCAATTGTGGAAATGTAAAAATGCGTCGACTTTTAGCGCTTATCCCCATTTACACTCCCCTTACGTTGCGTTACGTTACGTTATGTTACGTCTTGTTACGTTTTGCTCTTTTGCTCGTTCGTTAGTTGGTTGGTTGATTGATTGATTGATTGACTGGTTGATTGGTTGGTTGGTTGGTCCAGCAAGGATTCAAAAAAGCAAAAAACAAAAATTGAAAAGAAAACGGAAGCAGCAAAAAGAAACCCCCTATGTTGTCCCTTATTTTTTAATCGACTGTTTCTCTCTCTGTCGTCCTTTGTATATATTTTTTATATTTTTTTCTTAACCCTACCACAGATGAGATGAGGAAACAGTGTTTTTCGTTTATTTTATTGATCAGTTTTTTTTTTTCGTTTTTATCTATGTCTATATATTTTTTGTCGATCTGCTGATCTGCTCCTGTTCCCTGTCCCTCAATTTAAAGCATGCTGTTCGTTGATTTTTAGCTGTAACTGTAAATACACTTTGTGCATGATTTTTTTATGAATTCATAACTACACAGATGGAAATATGTAAAATGAACTTAAAAATTGTAATTCAAAACGCATTTAAAAAACGAATTACATGTTATGTTAATAAGCTTTAAAGTGTTTTTATGTAATTATGTTATTTTTACGATACACTTCATATTTTGCTCTGTGTGTATAAATAAATTTACAATAATACATAAAAAGAGCCATGGACGGCAGAGGCACCACCACCACCACCACCGCCACAGTCATATCCACACCATTAGCGACGATTTCTGATTGTTTCTTTGTGTGACTTCAGTGGTGCATTTCCTTTTGAGGGGACTACACAACCGCACACACTGCGGAAAAAATCCTGCCCGTTTGTGTGTGTGGCAGCTTGAATAATGCCATATTGTTTTTTGAATTTTGCGTAGTAGCTGATATTATATAACCAAGAAAAAAAAAACCGTTTGAAAACAATTAAGTTTTGTGCTGTTTTCCAACACGTTGCGTAGTGTGTAAATGTGTTGCCTGCCAAGATACAAAACACATGTAATTTTCAATAACCCATAGAATTGTTGATTACCCAAACAGATTGATATTTTTTGTGTAATTGATTTTGTGCATGCCCCAAAACTAATAAATGTAATTTGTTTGCTTTTCTTTTTTCTTCCACCTGCTGCAAAAAAAAAAAAAAAAAATCGAAATCCAAAACCGCATCCCTAAAAAACTCTATTCACACAGCAGCCCAGCACAAGAGCTCCTCCACCAGCGAACAGCGAACGGAAAGCAAGTCCAAGGATGGCGGTGCCACTGTGACCACAACAACAACAAAGGGTGAGTGGAAGGTATATATGCTATAGGATATGGATTAACCAAGACATTCTCCATTTCCGTAGTTACCACACGCACTGTCAGCGGTAGTGCTGCCTCTAAGAACATCTCGCCCTTGGCCAAATTTAAGCAGCTGGACAAGCAGGCAGCCGCCCAGCAGGCGCAAAAGTAAGATACCCCAACCACCAATAATTCAGATTATTTCACATATATATATATATATATATATATATATATATATATATACATACATATATCGACGAGCATACAAACATAGACACACATGTGGTAGCGAGGGCATACATACTATACACACAAGTCAACATTTGTGCAGGTCACTCATTAAATTCAAAGGCAGTTGGAGAAGAAAGCAGTGCAAGCAGTGAAAAGTAGAGATTGTGCCACTATGACACTGACTATGTCGTTGACAAAATTAAAAAAAAAGTTAATAAATCACTTTAAGACAAAAATTACCTTAACAACTAAACAGTACTTTAATAACTAAACAGTCTCTACCATTTTCTCTAAAAAAAAATAATCTATGTTTTGAAAAGTTTGATGCAGGCATAAGAATAATTAACTTTTCATTTTGCTTTAATGTAAAAGCACATTGAAATTTTTTTATTAAAGCTCAATTTGATTTCTGTGCTATGAATAAAACTTCATTTTCTAAAGGGGCACAAAAAAATGTCTTCTGCAAAGGACTACTTTTGTGATTTCTTCTCCAAGCCTTTCCACAAACACACTCAAATAATTATATTGGTTAAAGAAGGGTGTCTCACACTTACACAATAGATATATGCAATTCAAGCTCAATCTTCACACACCCTTCTAACACATACATGCATATACGATCTCTGGTGTTGGTTCTCTATGGAAGTGTGTTGTAGTATCGTCTCCCAAAAAAAAGCTAAGAAATCGTCAAGGATATTTTATAACTGATAATGAACTAGTGAAGGAAAGGTGATTCCGCCCTATGTACATAGAATACCCAACTGTCTCCCTCTGTTTTTCTAGTTAGCCTATGGAAACTGGACTCGATCTTCCCTCTTTTTTATTCTCTCCTTCCTTCTATATCTGTCTCTTTATGTTTTTCTTCGGCGAATGAAAAATTCCAACAAAAAACCAAACCAAACCCAAAAATTCGTTGAGAGAAAATCAAAAACATCGCGTTAGTTGTTCCAGTCCAAGTTTTTTTCGTATTCAAATAATTGTTGTTGTTGTTTCTTGCTAACACAAAAAAATATATCTATATATACACACACACAAATACACAAACAAAAATAAAACAAAAAAAAGAACACCTAACACAATTGAACTAAAAAATCAAACAAAAAACACACGAAAAAAAGAGAAAACAGAAACTAAGAACAACATGAAGATGAACCGATTTTGTGTGAGTTTCGCTAAAACGTCTGCAATCCTCCAACCTTGACTCATTTGTTCAGATCATCTCCAACAACAAGCACACCCACGACCCCCGGTGGTTCGGCACAACCGTTGTTCAAATTTACCGATCCGGCATTAAATGCGCGCGCCGCCACTGTCAAGGATCAACTTCTACAGTGGTGTCAGCATAAAACGCAGGAATATGAGGTATCCAAAACCTAAACCAAAAAAAAAAAAAAAAAAAGAAAAAGCAAAAACAAAAAACCAAAACCAAGCAAGCCCTACAAATTTATGAAATGCCGAAGCCACAGCCAATATTTGTTATCCTTGCCATTGTTTGTTATTTATTTAATGCACTTGAGGTCAAAATAATAGCGCTGACGAAAAGGTTTTATGTTATTGATAAATAAAACAAAATATCTCGATCGATAGCTGATATACATAGCTTCAGATAATTCCCTCTATGTTGCTTAAGAAATAAATGCTAACTACATTTTGTTTATCGTAATGGACCTTTGTTATCGAAATACATAATTTTATAATTAATCGGTAATATCTATCGACTTTTTAAAATTTAGATTTTGATTTATTGTTTTACAAAGACATTTTAAAGACAATATATTGCAATTTGCAAAAAGCATGGCTAGTTTTGACCCCAACTGACAAATAGACTTGTTTATTATCGTTTCTTTAGTTTTTGCCGTTCGCTCCGATGTTATTTAGCTGTTAGTTTTGCCATATTTAACAAATCTAACGACAAACCGAAAACAATTACAACAGCAAACAAAATAAACCAAAGCAAAAACATCTAACAGCGCCTAACTTTGGCTGAGCTTATAAGCTTTCTTCAATACTCATACACGCACACACACTCAGACACACACACACACACACACGCTCACACACGCACACAAACTCAATTCACGAAAGAGAAAATAGAAATTAGAAAATATTATTATGGATGCCATTTCCGTTTCCGTTTACCGCTATTTGCTGCCGATTTTAATCGATCACCGCTTGTCGTTTTTAGTTTTTTTTTTTTTGTTTTGGCAATTTTGCTTTGTCGCTATAGCTATCGCTGCTGTTGTTGTTATTGTTTCGACATAGTTGACCCACTTACTAGTTACTTATTAAGTCTTAGTTAGTATTGGATCGGAGGCTGCAATCTCGCACTAAATGCTTTTGCTTTTGCTCCAAGTGCCATCCCAAAATCAGCAAACCATCTAAAAAAAAAAAGTGCGCTCAATCATTATCGATCACCACTGATCACTGAATGCAAATTATGTGTGTGTTGTTTCGCAGAACGTCCAAATAAGCAACTTTAGCTCGAGCTGGTCAGACGGCTTGGCCTTTTGTGCGCTGATACACCATTTCTTGCCAGATGCATTTGACTACACCACACTAACCAAGCAGACGAGACGACACAATTTCGAGCTGGCCTTCAGCGTTGCTGAGTAAGTATACGCACCGTGGAATGCCCTTGAATAATTCCTAAAGATTATTCAATGATGTAGCACCAAAAAAAAATATTGTTTATTAACGTACATACAAGTAGTACGAAAATGGTTCCAATAAACCGTCCTTTTTATCTTGGAAAATATAATATTAAAGTTATGCAAATAATTATAATATTTAAGAAGTTTGTTGAAAAAAACCAAAATTGATATGGTAACAATAATAACTTATGTATAAAAATATGTAATTTGTAGCTCTTAAATTAAACCAAGTTTTTTTATTGATTGCTTTAAATATAATATTGTTTTAAATATCAAAGAAAATAATTTTTTAAAGCCATTGGAATGATTTTGTGAAATGTACTTACAAAAAAAAAATAAATTTGTAGTTATTATATATTAGGAAATTGTTGTCCTTTAAAGAATTGCAATTGCTTAGATTAATTTCTGAAGATTTAAAATCAGAAAAAATGTATAACTTTTTTTGCTACCTTGATTAAACGTTCTGTAATTTCTGCATTGACTATTAACTTTGATATTTTGCAGTGAGAAGGCTGGCATTGCACCACTGTTGGATGTGGAGGATATGGTGGAGATGAGTCGCCCCGATTGGAAGTGCGTCTTTGTCTACGTGCAGAGCATATATCGCCGATTCCGGAACTGTCAGTGAATCCATCGAAAGCAGTGACAGCATCAGAAGCAACAGCAGCAGCAGCAGCAGCTGAATAGTCCAAATCCAGATCCAAATCCAAGTCAACTCTCAACAGCAACAGCAGCGACTCATTAAATTTTAAGTTTACACCACATATCCTCTTTGGCATTTTGTGTTAACACACGCCACATAGTACACCCCCTTATGTATCCCATAAACCAAGATCCTACGTCATCCTGCGAATATCTAACTGTGTAATCGGCATATGTATATTCTTTAACTGAAGCGCAAAGGGCTCGTCGATTGTGAACAGCCGACTCTTTGTACGTTTTTTGTGTTTGTTTTACCCATTTTTTACTATTATTACGATTACGCATTATTATTTGTTATCGAACTTGAAGCAGAAACTATGCAATAATTGTTGATTTATATATTTTTTTGTCATAATTTTAATTGTGAAGAAATGAAGCAGTGCAGTTACTAACCCTGCTGGCGGTCATCGACAATTGATAAAGTATTTAAGATACGTCTCGATGCCGTCGCTCACATTGATGAATTACTGTAATAATAAACATATATTATATGTACGTACGTGTAACGAGAACGAAATATTTACTAACCAATGGCATTGAAAAGGCCGCAAAGAAATAAAAAAAAGCAAATGAAACCCAACCAATGTGTGTCTATATGATTTGGGCCTATGAATATAAAGCAGCTTTTGTTTGCTGTTTAAGCCAGGATGTAAAAAAGCTAAAAACGTTCATATGAATTTTAAAAAATTTCTCATTTTGGAAGGGTGTACTTAAAAAATTGCTCAAAACAATGACTTATAAATTATTTTTTCAGAAATTTTAAGTTTGTGTTTGGAACATCTTTTCTCTATTACTGACTTGTAAGGCAGTGTGCCTTTCGCATAACTTATCAGGTGTGCTTAGAAACTCGGTGAAAGTCTAGCGTTTAAGTTTTATGTAAAATGTTGCAGGAAAATTAAGTGTAAAAATTTGTATATCAAAATTTGGTTCGTTACGCACACAAAAACACACGCTCCTACCGCCAAGCAGTTCAACAGCAGTGCAAGCAGTGCAGAAGACACAATATACCCACCACAACATCTTCGAGTCAGAGCAACATGTCGCAACATCAGCCAGTTATTTCGGAGTCTGCCGCCCTTCGTTTGGTGAATGGTTTTGCGGCCACCGGTAGTGCCACACCCCTCGCCGTTCAGCCGCCCACCGCGGCGCCAGCGGAAGTCATCTGTTCGCCGGAAATTGGTCATCCTTCGGCTCAGCTGCCCAGTGGCACACCCACCGCTTCAATGGCCGCGCTAGAAATTTCATCGGCGCGACAAAGGATGTTGCCACCGATCACCCGGCGACCTTCACAGGAGAGCGTCCATTCGGCCAACGAGAATGGCAACTCGTGCCGCATTTGCCGCTGGAACCGCAACGACATGGAGATCATCAAATGTCCGTGCAATTGCAAGGGCAGCGTGGTAAGCGAGGGTCATTTCAGCCATGCCCAACCATGTTCTAAATTAAAACCAGTTCGGGGTACTCCTGTTCGAGATTCACAAAAAAAATTTAAACAAAATTGAAGAATTTCGCCATCTTTATAAAACTTAATTTAAATCTTTGATTGATATTTTTATTAGAATTGAAACGCGAATTTGTTATTTAATAACATGGCAAAGTAAAGTAATCTTATATTTTATCCATACAATTTTTGATGAACCTTTAACGGTTTAAACGCAAATTCTGTAGCTATAAATAACACTTGTGTGTGACCATCTAAAAATACCTATATATAATATATATATATATACCAAATGTCTTAGTAAAAGCCAAGGTATACAGTAAAAAATGATTTTTAGTTAGTAAATAAAATAGAAATTTGTGAAAATTTCGAACAGAAATGCTCGTAAGCTGGTATCGAGTGTATTCGGCTCACGGGATCTAGGTGACCTTTGCAGGGCTTCATCCACCTGAAGTGCCTGAAGCGCTGGATTATGCACAGGCGGGATAATCGCTGCGAGATCTGTAATGCGACCTTTGACATATCGGAGGAGCGGGTAAGCCTGAAGCAGATGATGCGAACCTTCTGCTGCGGTCGCTGTTGTGGCCTGATTGTGAAACACCTGCTGTTCAGCGCCTCACTGATGCCACTGGCACACATCATTCTGCAGCAGGTGAGCTTTCGTTTGTCCTGGTTATAAACGAAGCATCGGCAGCTTGGTAGAGTTCAATCTGAAATATGAAATGCAAGGGTGGGCAAGGCTGCCGCTGCATCGCTTATAGGCAGTTTTATAAAGAAAATCCTCAAGTTTCAATGTTCTTTTTTTTTTTTGGTGCCTTGCTCGCAGGTTCTGCAGTGCATGGACAATCTGAACCAGGGCAGCACCGAGCAGCTTACCGTCCAGGAGGTGTTCGTCGCCTCCTGCGCCCTGCTCACCTCCAGCGCCCTGTTCTTTCACTTCTTCGAGTTCGTCACCACACGGTGCCTGCTCATCCGGAACATCCTGCGCCACTGGTGGATGTTCGGCAGCACCTCCGACTTTTCTCTGGTGGAGATCGACGACGATTCCATCGATTTCATTTGATTGGGAGAGGATCTTGTACTAAGACTGTCGCCAAAGGAGACGATGAAGGGCGACGACAGCTGTAGGTTATGCGCTACATCTTAGGTGATTTCAGCAAGATCCAGTGATAACGAATTTCAATATTAAATAAAGTAAATTTCAAAACATCACATAAATATTTCCAACTTGTTCAATAAAGACAATCGCATTGGGTATTATTTGTAAATCAGGTAGGCTTACATTTTTAAATAAATTAACGATGCTTTTCGTCGGCTCGTATGTTTTTTGAGTCAGCCACTCTACCCTAAAACCATCAAACAAAAATACATTTTTGTTTTGTTTTTGGTTTTTGTTATTAAATAACAAATTATAATAACGAATTTGATATTAATCAATCGAAATTATTTCAACCATAAATTATTTTCAAATAACCAGGAGATTGCAAACGGTCACACCGCATCTAACGACTATCGAACTATCGTCGCGAGTTTAAGCCATTCGGCTGTGGTTATCGATAGGGCCTCGCCGCGAGTAGTACCACCACTGGATTCATCATAAAAAAAAAATAAAATAAAGAAAAGTGCCAGTGGACTGGACGAACGTAAAACAATTCCCGACGCATTAACCGTGGGCGCAGATTTCAACTTTAGCTGACGGCCCCCAATAATTCGATGTATTCCATGTTGTGTAAGTGCCAAAAAAGCCCAATTAAATCGAGAGCAAAACAATCGCAGCAGCAGCAGCAACAGCAAAAGCCAAAGCCAAAGCAGCGAAAAGCAAAAGCAAAGCAGCACGCGAGCAGAGACGAGCAGCAGAGAAAGGAAAACCGAAAACAGAAATCAGAAATCAGAAGAACGCCTCAAAAGAAAGTGAAGTGAAGTGCAAAACACACTCGAAAAAACCGGATATCTTACGGGTCTTTCTGCTTTTGCTTATGCCTTTGCTATTGTTTCGCATCTTCCTTTGTCTCTCACTTTCTTAACAAAATAAAAAACGGCACGTGTGCGAATGCATTCCCTACAAATATCGTACAAATCCAAACCTATTACAGAGTGCCACGCCTCCCGCGAGTCCCCGCCCCTTTAGGTCGATAAAACAGCATTAAAGTTTACAGAAAATCGAAAGAAAAAAGATCAACAAAAAGTAGCGAGATGGCTGGCCAACAGCTGGCCTTGATGCTAAATCCCAATCCGAATACCCCGAAGGCCCTCTACGCCCTTTCGCTAGAGGCCCTTATCGGCAGTATGAACACCAAGGTTCCGGCGCTGGACAGGATCAACCGACTGACGGAGCTGCCGCGCAACCTGCTCATCGATGTCTACGAAATGGTGAGTGCTCTCGTTCTGCTCCCACTAACTACCCCCCATCCCTCTCTATCTCTCCCAAAAGATCCGATCTCATTATCATAACCAGTAATCGTTAGTAGCTATGTAGCTTGGGAAAATACCAGATACTCAACTATGTAGTTCTAGTTGTTAAAGCCTTCCATTGTTATGCTCTTGGTATTATAACTTACAATCCTGGAAAACATATGTTCCAGTTACTTCCAGGAAATATGGTTTCAAAGAACATGGTGTAGCATTAAATGAATGCATTTCCACCTTAGTTTTGATTTTTTTAACGGCTTGTGGTAAAAACTTGAGGGAATTACGAAACGAGCTTTTTGGAAATATATATACATATATTTTTGGATAAATTAAAATATAATTCTTTTAACTAATAAGAATTTTGATATTTATGGTAAAAACTAATTTAGATTGTGAATTATTAATTTTACTGGAGGAATAAACTGTTCTCGGAAATATTCACCTTTATTTGGTATGCAGATATGGAAATTAGGAACATTTTTTTCAAAATACAGGTTCCTGGAACTAGATGTATGTACATATTTCCCTTTTGAAGAAGAGGATTGATAGTATAAAGATTGCGGATCGTTTTAAATACATATCTTTTTGCGATACCTGGGGTTAAACCTCTCCATCAGTGATCAAAACGATTACAGCACTTGTTGGGCCGCTGCTTATCTCCACTCGCCGTCCGAATTTCGCCACTGGCAATTACCATTCTCTCATACTCATTATCAGGGATTGAGGGGGGTATGGCACTTGTCTGTTTGTGTTTGCTTTTCCGCTTAAATTGTTTACACCCCGCCAGTCCGGCCTTTAACCCTAGAGAGAAAGACCTTCGCCAGATCGGACAGGGAAAATTGTCTTTAAACACTCATTAAACCTTCAATAATCATTTCTGATAAGACAAAAATTTTCGATTGTTTCCCAGAAATGCAATAAATTCAGCTTATTGAATGTGTTTTTTTTTTCTAAAAATATTAGCTATTCACAAAGATTTTGTTTTTAAATTAAAGCAACACTTGGTCTTTCACTAGTCTTAATTCATTGCTAACCTAAATAATTATTACTAGACTTTTTGAAGAAAGTTAAATGCAAAAAAAAAGGGTTAAGCTATTTCTGAAGTCCATCGATCAATGTTTATTTCTATTGAACATACAAAAGATCATGTAATAACCTTCAAATTCCAGCACTAAACGGTACCATTTATTGTTTACTATTTTAAAACCGCCTTTCTTGGAATTCAATTAACTTGGGCTTCACTGTACACATTCCGCTGGTGGTGCATGCCTTTCAGATGGATTTCATTCGGACGAAGGAAACGAAACTCCACAGACCCACAGGTGGTTGTGGTTGCATATATGTACATAGTTGGTCAGCCAAAGGTTTCGATTCCACACATGGATTGTTATAATAAGTGGCAATTACCGTGTAAATTATAAACAGAAGCGACAATGAGGGGCATCTAAAAATAGACCAACCAGTTGGATGGGTCCAGCGCCCTTTGATTGTCCTGTTCGGAAATTGTGGAGCTCTGCTGAGATGGGGATGGGGATGGGAATGAAGATGGGGATGGGGATGTGGAGCTCTGATGGTGCAGTGATGCATAGAGAAAATGCTGTGGCGCAGCTGCTGGCGAAGAGCCATTGAACTTGCTGATAATGGCTAAGCAAATTCCATTGTTCGCTGATTGGATGTGTCTTTTCTCCTCTTGTTTACGTGACTTTTTGCTAGCTTCTGCTCAAGTCGTAACTTTTAATTTGAAACTAGGATTCTAGATATTCTATTTACCAACCAAAACTTAAGTTGTTTGCAAGGGGTCTTTCGGCAAATGTTAGAAATAGGTGTTAACAAAGTATGTCATCTCATGTTATACATAGTTGTAAGTTATAATTATAACTTAAATCAGTAATTTACCTTAATGTCTGGAGATTATTTTTACATACTTCTCAGATGTTTAAACATGCAATTATACTTATATGTACATACTATAATATTGATTTATACCTAAACTAGTGACCAACATTAAATGTTTTTCCCGCTGCTTAACATGTCCATATGTGCTTCCATTAAATGCCATGTGTTTCTCCGTCTCCATCCCACAGATGTCGCAGCAGGAGTCCTTGAAGGACACACTGCTGGAGGAGTTGGCCCAGCTGGAGGTGTTTACGCGACTCGTTCGTTACTCGGCTGCCCGCAGCAAGTTGCTGCGCATAATGGCTGCCCTTATGGCCAGCAAAAAGATGCTGGCCAAACGACTCAGCGAAAACTATGTGTCGCGCTACTGGACCCCCGGACATGATGATGATGATGATGAGGGTGACGAATTGAATCAGGAATCGGTTGACTTGGACAAGAGCCATGATCAGGCCCCATCACTTGATTCCTCACCGAAGCCGCAGCCGGAGCCCAGCAAGCTGCACATTTACGATGGGGAAACGGAGGAGGACGGCTCTGGTGCCAGCTGTAGCGAACAGCGCAGACAATTCATCACCATAGAAGTGGACGCCAAAGTCCTACAACCCCAGTCCCAGTCCGAACTCAGTGTGATCAACAATTTAGACCTCGAGGAGTTGCCCGCTTCGGAGATGCAGGTCATCGACATGGGCTTGCGCCTCGGTTCGTTCCTTTCGGAGGCCGGATGGATGCAGGAGAGCATCACCGTGCTGGAGTGCCTCAATGGAAGACTGAAGCGCCTGCCTCCCCACAAACACTGGCTGGAGATGCGTCTCGACTGTCTGCAGCGGTAATTATCAGATATTTATTAAATCAATCAACTCACAATTAAACTATCTCAATTCACACCACATCATTTTGGTGAAATATTACAAATAATGCGTGATTTGCACTTGCACTTGCTTAACATAGCCACAAAATCAATGTATAAATATTGAAAGTATATAATATATCTCAATATTTATGTGAGTTTACATGATTAAGCTCGATAATTTTATCAGAAAAAGAAATGCAAAGGCACTTCTCTTTACTATGATTATTACTTAAAAATAATTGAATTTAAATTCAAATTTCCCATATTAGTTTCATAAAAACTTCCAAAACTTTATGTTTAATAAACTTAGCTTTATCTATTTATGCTATTATTTGTAAAGTTTGTTTGACAACTAATGTGTTTTATATATGTTTTGTTTTTAAAGCCTCCTATATGCAGAGTCGGCGCATTGTAACTTCAAGCTGGCGCAGCGCACCTACAACGAACTGATCGGTCTGAACAGATCGCTCAATAGCCAGGTGCCCGCCCAACTGGTGGCCATGGCCTACACACAGATTTCGGCCATGTACTTTGCCCGCAACGAGTACAACCACAGTCACATGTGGAGCGGCCTGGCCATGCGATTTCTGAAGGGATCTGCTTCACCGCGGTGAGTTGTCTGCTGTCCCACTCCCTCTTCATCTAGTCCCTGTAGTCCGATCTCGATTGCTGATCTCTAACTTAACCCATCCGACAGCATCACCATCGACGTACTGCGCCAGGCGGCCAGGGCCTGTGTCGTCAAGCGGGACTATGCCCGTGCCAATCTGCTCATTTGCCAGGCGGTGCGACGCGCTCGGTAAGCACAGCAGCCCATGGATGGTTATTATCTATCTATTGAAAGGTCAATCGGTCTCGGCCAAACTCTGTTCCATTGTGAACTGATTGTCAGCTATAAATAAGAGATGGCCACGATGATCACAACCCGTATTGCTAAGACAGAAACAATATCATTCCTTAGAAAACTCAGTATAAACCTCAATTATATAATTATAATTTTTCCATTTCATTTAAAAGTTTTGAATTATAAATTCATTTAAATTGCAAATTATGTGATCATCTTAGAGGAAATTCAAAGGCCACATAAGGATATAAAAAATAAGCTAAACGAAGTAATTTAAAAAATCAGCTTTTAAAGGAATTAAAATATCTGCAGACACAATTTGTTTTTTTTTTTTTTTTTTTTTTTTAACGATTTATATTTAATCAACTCACTTAGTAGTCATACTCATTGGAAATCTTTATTCCCCACAGCAAACACTTTGGACTTAAGCATCAGAAGTACGGCGATGCCCTGCTGGACTACGGATTTTTCCTACTCAACGTGGATTCGGTGTTTCAGTCCGTTAACGTCTACAAGGAGGCGTTGGCCGTACGCCGTGGCATCTTTGGCAACATGAACTTCCATGTGGCCATTGCGCACGAGGATCTGTCGTATGCCTACTACGTGCACGAGTATAGCACGGGTGACTTTAGCTGTGCCCAGGATCACGTGGATAAGGCGGTTAATATCATGAAGAATCTGGTGCCCAGCAATCATCTGATGTTGGCCTCGGCGAAGCGCGTTAAGGCGCTGCTGCTGGAGGAGATTGCGCTGGACAAGATGGCCGATGGCATGGACGAAGAGGATCTGCTGCAGCAGTCCGAGGAGCTGCACAACTTCGCCCTGCTCCTCTCCCTCGAAGTGTTCGGCGAGGTGAATGTGCAGACGGCGAAGCACTACGGAAATCTGGGGCGTCTATACCAAACAATGAATCGCTTCGATGAGGCGGAACGAATGCACCAAAAGGCGATCAAAATCAAGACGGATCTGCTGGGTGCCTTCGACTATGAGGTGGGACTGTCCATCGGCCATTTGGCCTCGCTGTACAACTATCAAATGAAGAAGTATCGCGAGGCCGAGACGCTCTACCTGCGCAGCATTGATATAAGTAAGCAAATCTGACCCAATTAATTATTGTTTTATCGCAACTAATCTACACTTGATACATATATTAAAGGCCTGCGTCTGTTTGGGCACTCGTACTCTGGGCTGGAGTATGACTATCTGGGTCTGTGCCACGTCTACGAAACGTTGCACGACTTTGAGAAGTATTTGAAGTATGCAAACACGCTGGAGAACTGGCAGGTGCTGCGTGGCCAAAACCTCACACAAAACGTAAGTGATTGCATCGTTACGGAGCTACAATAGAACGAAGCTAATTGTTCGGTTTTTTGTGTTTTTTGCGATTTTCATTCAGAAATCCAGCTACCCCGCCATCGAGGAGGACTATTCCATTACGGAGGTCAAGATCAAGTTCGTCAGCATGTGTGCCTGCAAGAAGAGTCCAGTCCATTTGCAGTCAGCGTCATCGGTGGTGAATTTGAACTGAGATGGGGCTTTGGGAGTGGGAGCGGAACTCGAAATGCGACTGTCAGCGGAAGAAGATCAAGTACGAGTTGCACCCGTTCCCGCTCCCGCTCCTGCATCCGCACCCCCACCCGTACTAGCAATAGCAATCGCAATAGCACCCACCCCCCGGCATCGGATGGCACAAACTGTAGGCCAAACTGCAGCAGGAGCGGCAACGGTGACAGAGGCGGCAACATCTGCAGTTTGTCATAGATAATTGGACCACGTTGATTATACAGATAGATAGATGGATGGATGGATGGATGGAAAAGTGGGGAATATCGAGGTGGTAGGTGGTCGGTCGATCGACCTGTGTGTGTTCATAAAGGATTTCCAAGTGTAGTTTAATAGCTTATTTCGAACGCTCGGTCGGCACCTAATCATCACCACCGCGCTCTTTTGAATGTCTCGTTTTATTTTCTTTGTCATTTCCATCGAATAAACCGCACACGGCTCTACCATATGGATTAAGTCGCACCGAGTGTGGGTCAGTTCAGCTAGCTTGCCGTTGTGTTCCAGCCGTCATCGAATACGTCCAGTACCCTTAGATCCCACTGTTTACGAGGATACCCAGTCGTCCTGTTCTTTCCGTCAGATTTTCACCTAGGCTTAGATGTAGTAGTATTGTTGGAGCTTCGGTTACACCCCGCTGAACGGGAGATCGTTGAGCAAATATTTTTTTTTTTATTATTATTGTGTTCTTCACGTTTTGGTCGATGTACAAACGTTTAATTTTTAACGGATTTCCGCCTCTAATAATCTACTTTTGTATTTTTTTTGTTGTTTGGAAACTAGATGAATATGCCAATCGCCAGTCGCCAGTCGCCAGAGAATAAACGTTGCTTTCGAAAGAGATGTAGTGAATAAAAATGTACTTCTTTTTTAATTTAAATTATCATGTTTGTTGTTAGGGCGTTCAGAGCATAGAACCACTCGAAAAATAATGTTGTATAGAGCGCAAGGAATAAGCGTATTGTGTAGTCTAGGCCCATCAAAACAAAAATGTATGGTATATATTTGTAATACGTTAACACATGGAATATGCATCAAAAGTATTGCCACAGCCCCTAAAGTTAATAAACAAAGCAACTGGAAAGCATTGGCGATGGGAAAGCGTTGTAAATAACTCGGGTTGAACATAGCAGCTTCCAGTTAAATGCAGAAAAGATTTATTATAATACATATATATATATATATAACATAAATAAATAAAGACAATTTATACCATTAACATTTGCTACTTAGAGCGATACTTATAAACACAACATTGTAGTTGCAAAACTCTTTTTGGCATTACTTAGCGATTTAGTTTTAAAGCGAATGTCGTAAATCTCAAAATAAAATGCCTGCAAGAATAAATGTTACCACTGAGAGCGCTTTTATTTTAAAGCTAATAAATGGGTTTAAAAAACTATTGATGAAGTTCAACTTTTCTAAAAGATTTTGGTGTGCTGAATTTTTAAAAAAGTAACATCAAAGTTGGAAAAATGATTTAGATAATTTTTGCACCAGCGAACCAATTCTTTTTTTCGAAAAATAAATCATATTACATTAATTTAAAAAAAAAAACACTTAAAAAATTTATTAATTTTTAAATTGGTTGGATATCATAGATATATAATATATATTAAATATATCCAAGTTTTTGAAGAGTTTTTGTTTTTAAATAAATGTGATGAGGCTGTGTGAATTAAAACATGATTTGTAATGCAAAACTGTATTGGAAGTAAACACTTTAAAAATGTAACAGTTAAATTGTTTGGAATCGATATGGCAACATCGATATTGGAAAAAGAGAACGGACACAGCTTTCGATATTAAAGGTTATACAGAGCCTGGAATTCATTTATTAGATAGTTTTTTAGAAGTTCATGGAATTAATTCTCTTGATTGCTATTTAAATATTCCCAAAAATAGTTCGAAACTGAGTGGGGATTTCAGGAACAACTTTGATAGTTGCGCATCGAGATAATGGAGAATACGCTATTTGCGAATGTTAAGAAGCTTTACGATCACAAGCTTTACGAGTGCGTGATTCCAGTGGTAATTAGTTAATAGGCATTACTTAGCTTTCCTCGTGTGTAACTGGTCTCGTTGACATCCAGGCCAAGTTGTTGAGGACGGTGCTGCAGAATGATCGCAACATTGCCACCTTGGAACTGGAGTACCAGGCGCAGCTCTACCTCAACATTTCACTCTACAAGGAGCGACAAGTTCGGGCGGCATTGCGACTCTTTGACGACATGATCCACCAGCGGAGGTTGATGGTGCGCCACAAGAACGCCTGTCTGCTGGCCATCGAGAGTGTGTATCCGGAGTTCGGCGAGGTGGAGCTGCGGCGGCGAGCCGCCAAGTGCTACCGTGAGATCGGGAATCCCGGCATGGCCCTAGCCACGTTGCTCGAGGTGCCGGTGAAGTCGCGCACACCCCGCATCAACCTGATGCTGGCCAGGCTGAATCACCACGGACCCGGCCCTGGGTGCCCCAACAGGGCGGAGGCCCTGCACGCCTACAAGGAGGTCGTCCGCGAGTGTCCCATGGCGCTCCCGATGATCCAGGCTCTCCTGGAGCTGAAGGTCGACGGCAACGAGGTCAACTCGCTGGTGATGCACGGTACCCTTTAGACAACAAAATTCCTCAGTTTGGAAAACAATTATCTAATTTTGGGAATAATGCCCCAATGACTTATGACTTCGTTCAATTTTTAAATCATTTTTTTCCTAAATTAATATGGAAGAGTCATTATCCCTAAAATAAATTAATTTTTCCTATAACTAAGGAACTTTTCTTTAAATTAAGTAAGTTGTTCTAAGATTACCGAAATTATCCTACAACTTGGGAGCTTTTCCTAAAACAAAGAAATTTTTTATAATATAATTTTTTATAGTTTTTAGCACTTTTTTTTCTAAAATGAAGGAATTTTTCCTGAAATTATAGAACTTTTCCTAAAATTAAGAAAGTTTTACCAAAATGAAGTAATTTTTCTTAAATTAAGAATTTTTAAATTTAACAATGTCAAAAAGAAGTTAACAACGCAGTGAAGATTTCTATTATTTTTACTCGATATTTAGTAAAGACTTCTTGTATTGGAATTACGGTTAAAATTTGATCAAAATCGGACCACTATATCATAAAGATCTAATGGGAACAATCGGAATTAAAAAAAAAATTGTTTTTAAATTGAAATTTCTAAAATGAAATTTTTTTTTTTTAATAATGCCCTACAATGGCAATAATCTAACCTCTGTTTTAGAAGGCCTTAAGTGTGCTTCGCATTAATGATTACTAATTTTCCCCGCCCGAGCAGCTGCCACAGTGCACGAGAACGGAAACATTGACTGGCTGAGCACGTGGATCAAGGCGCTCGCCCAGATGTTCGACTGCCAGCATCTGGATGCGGCACGCACCTTCCAGCGGCTGCACGACTCCACCCGGCTGCACGGCAACGAGATCCTGATGGTTGCGCTGGGCAGGTGCCTCTACTACCACGGCCACTACTCCCAAGCGGAGCAGCTCTTCGCCACGACGGTCTACGGCCATCCGGACAACTTGGAGGCCATCGGGCTGCTGGCCGTTGTCCGTGGGCAGGATGGTGGTCCCGGGGGTCAGAGCAGGCAGGACATGGATCGTTTGTATGCCCAGGTGACCCGAGAACGGAGATACTCAGCCGATCACTGGTTCATCCATGCGCACGCCATGTACGACGCGGAAAAGTTTGAGCAGGGTTTAAGTTTCGTGAAGCAGTGTTTGGAGTCGGAACCGCGGCACCAGGAGGCACTAATCCTGCGCGGCCGGCTGCTCATCGCGACGGAGCAGCACAAGGCGGCGGCGGAGGCCTTTCGGCTGGTCCAAACTGTTGCACCCTATCGATTCGAGATCTACAGGGAGCTCTATCGCAGCTACTTGGCCCAGAAGCGATTCAAGGAGGCCCAGGCCATCTGCAACTGGACACTGCGTACCTTCCAGAACTCGGCCAGGGCCCTCACGGTGAGCAGCTTTTATAAATTATGGATCGAGTTGATCAGTCAATCAGTGTAATTCTGGATATATTTATTATGTTTTATATCTATGACAGACAGACAATCACTTTATCTTCTTTAGAACAATCTAACATATCGCAAATTTTTCCCATCTTTAATAGTCCGTCAATTCTTCAACTGAAGGAGTCCAATTTATTCCTAAACACTGGCTTGATGACCGTAATTTCTTAAGAATTTATAAGCATTCGAAAGATTGTGTATGGGGAAGATGGTTTCGCCTTCAAGAATACATTGGACTATTTTAAGCTGAAGAATTCGCGCGGATACTCAACAAAGAAAAGGATTAATCTGATTAATTTTCGAGCTTGTTTTAATTGATTGTTTTGTTTTTGTGAGCTACTCGAGCTAAACTCTTTGATTCCATGATTGCAAGACCAAAGTCCTGGACTGATTCTAATCTCAACTCGTGCTGGGCTTAACTATTTGCAACTTAACCTTATTTTTTTTATAGATGTTTGGTTCCACTCTCTTCGCCTCCCCGGATCCAAAGGTTAAGCAAACTGCCCGCAAGTTTGCCGAAAAGTCCCTGAAGATCGACCCCAACTACACGCCGGCGGTGACCCTTATGGCCGATATCTGTCAGTTCGAGGGCGCACCCAAGGCGTCCATCAAGCTGCTGGAGGATCACGTCTCACTCTTTCCGCAGGCGAATCTGTTCACGCATCTCGGAGATATGCTGCGAAGCGAAAAGGAACCCATCAGGGCGTTGGAGTATTACTATAAGGCATTGGGGTGAGTTTGCAGAATATCAACAGCTGTGGTCATGAATATAGTAGTTTTCTAGCTTATGGAAATGGCAATCAAAAGTAGTTTTAGAGAAACTTTAGAATTTTTTATTTTATGTCTTCATAAAGCTAATATTATAAATTAAATGGGGGTCTAAATTAAAAATATTAAAAAACTAAAAAGGAAGAAAACTTTGCCAAGCCGAAGGTTACATACTCTTGCAGCTATTGTAAAAATTAAACATCTAAATTTCGAATTTATATAAGTACCCATTAAAAACCATTAAAGCTATAATGATTTTCACTTCAATTATTCGGTTGTTCCTATGGCAGCTACATGATGTCGTTTTCCGATTTTTATCAAATTAAAAGCGTAATTTAATTTAATCATTCCTATGTCCCAAAGAATTGCAAAAAAAAAATTAAAAACTAGAGAAGTTAAGTTTTTTTTAAATATTCCGATTGTTTCCATGGGAGCTATATATGATTAGTCATCAAATTTAAATCGTAATTCCGAAATAGTAAGCCAACACTAAATATCGAAGATCTATAAACAGAAATTGGAAAACAGCAAAGTTATAATTTATTTAAAATTATTGATAGCATAAATTTAAAAAAAAATTAATTTTGATAGAAAGTGCACGAGAAGTATGGTTATTTTATGTAATTTTTTTAAATTTCTTTACTACAGTATTTTGAAAAATGCATTTTTTTAACTAAAACTATATTAAAAGTTTTTTAAACCTTATTTGGTTCGTTGGTAACTAAACGTTGAGATAAATTTGAACAAAACCACTTTTCACTTCTATTATTATGACCGCAGTTGTATATTTTCTTAACCACTTAACTTAATGTGTAAAATCCCCAATTAACGTCCTATCCAAAATTTAGTAAGGATCCCAAATGCGAGCGAACTTTGCGGGGAATCAGTTTACTGCAGGTCTCCAACTCGTTCATTGTTTCGTCTATTCTGGATGAAGGTGGCGCCACCAAGGTGGATAGCGCACAGTCCACTGATGGATCGGCCACATCGAATCTGGAGTGGATGGGTGCCGATTGTGCAGAGATCGCTCGAGAGACATCCTCCTCACCGGCCGCCAGATCTGGTCAGGATGCCGATGACGACGGCGATGTCCCCGTTTGGCACGATGTCGATACGGATATGATCAACTGATTAACGATCAATAAGATCGAGTTACCACAGTCGGGGATCTGTTTTTTCGTTCTGTAAATAATTTCAAGCTTTGGTTTTCTAATATTTATCCATACCTGCGACATATAAAATCATTATTTATTTTAATTTTCATATCTTAAAAAAATATCAAAGCAAAGAACAGCTCAATGTATTTAAATGTACTTCGAGATATAGTTATGGTTCACTATTCGAAAATACGGGTTTAATTTTAATCAAATCACATCAAATTAAATCTATACTTTGCTGTTGTTCAATTAAATTGATTATGCTTCGAGATAAAGAGATGGTTTAATATACAAGTATTACGGCTTTAATATTGCTAAAATCAGTTCACTATGTCATATAGCTGTTATGGGAAAACACTGTTTTAAAATGTGTACGCACTTAAATTTTATTTCATTTTTATGATATAAATAAAGCCTTTCCAAAGCTTTTTCTGTTGAACATAAAACAGGATTAAGAAAGGAACTGCGAAAAGTTTCCTAATTCCAGGAGGTGCTTTCTTCATCGAAATTGATTAATTAATTCTTTAATTTATAACTGTTATTAAAACCAATAAGTATCATTGGTTAAAAAACAATAGACTTAAATTTAAGATTTATTCCATTTTAAATGACTTGTATAAAAAGCATGTTATTTCATTGGAATAATGTTTGAAAATGTAGTTTTTATGACCACTAAGAAATTTAAGAAGGAATATAAATGCAGAAATTCATCAAAAACGAAAGAAACAAAGAAAATACTTAAAATATAGTCATTGTCGGTGGTACATATACTAATATATGTATATTTCTAAAATCTCATAAGTTTACATAAGTTCATAACAGCTCAATTTATAATTATATTTATATAAACATTACATACAATACATAGTAACTTAAATGTTTGCAAATTGTTTAAATTTACGCGCCTTGCAGCGGAACAAGTTTAAGTTTAAAAGCTGGGATGTGCGTCTTGCAGCAGGCAGCCTTTGACCGAGCTCATCCAAAAGCAACTGTTAATGCCACTGCTGTTCACTCAGAGAGAACTCGAGAGCGAATCCCGCAGGGGCTTAGTGAAAGGGGTCATAACTCTATTACACTACAAATCAAAAATATTTTCCAAATATGGAAAATGTTGATAGTCTAGTTGTTACGAAATTAAACTATTTCAAATGTGTTTCTAACTTTTTTTTATCATATATCCGTTGCATTACCATAGGTTTGTGGTATTTAACTACAAAAGATAAATATTTACTATTTATTTAATTGAAGATTAATTTTACTCATTATTTATCTTACTCTCAATTTGAAAAACTTGCCAACTTTTAGAAATTACTTGTAAAGGGTTTTCGAGTAGCCCTTATGATTTGTATATGCTTTTTGAAAGAATATGAACCTTATATACTTTGACTCACTTTATTACCCCTCCGCTAAAACAGTCACCGACATTGAGATAAAGAGAAAGCGAACCAACATCTCGTGATACAAAACTTCTGTTAACGGATTTTGCCGCCAAAACTAATTTCAAATAAATTAAACAGAGCGGAATTACCTAGAATAAAAAAATTTTGTACATTTAAAGAGCATAAGTTCTCAAAAACTTTCCATAGCTGATTCAAAAAAGGATATAAGATATAATTTTGTTTTAAATATATTTTTTTAAATTAAAATAATATATAATATAAATAAGAGAAAGAAATTATTTTTATAATATAAATATTGCTGGTTGTAAGATAATTTTTTTCAGTTGTTCTTTTCATAAAATTATAAGCAATTTTTAATTGTAGATTGAAATGTTTAATTAAGGATCTCTTAAAAATTCTGATACGATATATTTAGCATTTGTATTTCTTAAATATTTCCTAAATCTGAAGCGAATTTATTTGTTTCGTGCTGCTATGATTACAGAGGCTTAACATTGAGAGAGAGAGTCTTAACAGCGACGCCGACGTCGGCGTCGCGAGAGAGAATCAGCAGCGCTGGCAAAGTCTATATAAGCGGCAGCGCGCAATCCATTTTTTTGAAATTTTACAACCGACACCGCGCTGATGGTTGAGTTTCGGTTTCCGTTAAATCTTTTCAAAAAACATTTCGAAAAACATGCGTTAAACTACCGGCAAAAGATATCACTGGATGATATTTTATTTGTTTTACGAGAATATATTGGTATTATGATAGTTCCATATATTCCTCACAACCCAATCGTTTTTGGGACGTGACGCGGGATTTTTTGTTTATGTTCTATTGCAAACCTGTGTCCGAAAAAAAACCCTTTTTCGAAAAGAAACCGCGAAGTGAAGTGAAAAAATTCGAATCCCTTTGTGAATATTAAAACAATATACCCGCAATATTGATACTATTTAATATGATTTCATATAATTCGATGCGAAATTTCTCACAGAAATAATAAACAAAATTTGCATAAACATCTAGCGATTGGCGGAGATCTTTAAAAGGTTTGCAACCCAAACAAGACACAAATTGTGGAATATTTCACACGGACTTTAACACAGAATTTAGAATTTAGTCATTTCCCTTTTTACTCGACGAGGTCCGACCAACGGTTGATTTAATCAGACACTGACTTTATCAGTGGAATAAAAACAAATGGTAGCGTTACACATGTTTGGTGCGATTGTGGATTTGTGTTTTATGTTTGCCTTGTCGTTTTTGCGCTTTTCACTCTTCGCTCGATAAAGACAAAGCGCAGAATAATGTCGCGAACACATGCCCTATCGAGTGGGTCAGAGCACCATGACATATCATATCACATCATATCATATCACCCACTTTTATCGGCCACACGCACTTGTTGATTTCGGCACTTTTTGTTGTACATTCGGTTGCAGTTTTGTGTGGCGATTTCCTAGAACGCGGTTTGTCATGTCAACAAGAATGACCAACGTTCCCTTGGCTTTGTTTGCATGCTGGTGACTTTCTCGCATGGTCTACGGTCTTCCACGAAATCGACTCATGAATAACACTAAAATCTGCTGCACACCATAAATTTAAACACCACCCCCGCCGGAAATCTCTCGCTCATCCGCCCTCCAAATTTTTTGTGTGCTAATTAAAAGCAATAAGGCAAAACGGTGACAGGATCAGCTTACAGATGCGGGCAAAAATATAAGGCATGCTAAAACTTTTATTTCTGGAGATGGAAAAATTATTATCCGAAATTGGAAGAACAACTAATTGAATAAAAAATGAATTTAATGTGAAATGTTTATTGGAATGATAAACTAATTTATATTAATTTCTCATTGCTTGAAATCTTGAAAATTAGAGACTGTCAATGTGCTTGTTATTTCCATTTTATTACTGATAAATTTTGGGCTAAACCAAACGCAAGAGATATGTACATATGTATGTACATATGCATATTGTTTTATGTTTTATTTTTTTGACCTAAGTTATGGGTATGTGTGCGTGTTTATACTTGCATGTATGTGACAACAATTTACAGCTGTTTACGCCTGTTGGACGCCCGCAACAACAAAAAAAGCCTTCTGAGGAGAAAAGGAGCTGAAAACTCTCTCCTGTTCTCTCTCTCTCTCTCGTTTTTCTCTTAGAATCCCCTTAAGAAATTGAGAGAGTGAATGATCCCATTGTGTGATGGCAAGTTTTTAATTTCTCAGGCCGTCAATTGCCGAACTGATAAGAAAAAATGCTCAACTGATAAGGGGTAGCTTTTACACATTTTACACACAATGGGTCGAGTGTTGCGGGTCTTGAGCTCTCGGTGTCTGGAGTTTTAGTAGTGCCGTTTGGGCTGGGCCTCCATATGTTTTCCCATGGCATATAACGGTCGAAAACGCATGCGCCTCCCTTCCCACAGCCCCAAATTCCCTTTTCCATTTCCCTCTTCCCTTTCACTCCTCCATCCCCCTCGCACTCACCCACACTGGCACACAGATAGTGCTTATGGATTACAATTATTTCCAGACGGCGACATCGAAATCAATGCACAGTGGTTGCTACATTAATATATCTCCAATCGACCCCCCACTGTTCACTTACTACTAACTGCGATTTTATTGGCCTGCCATTAAAAATATTTGAGTAACTAATGTGGGAAATATTAACTGAATTCAAATGGAGTTAGTAACATAACAACAAAGTTTTCAAGACTATAGAAATTTGAGGGTATTAAGTTCCATACAAAAGTTATTAAAGGTCGGTTTTCTTTACATTAAAATTTACTTTACTCTAACAAAAAAAAACATTTGGAACGAACGCATAAATTTAAATTTAAAAGTAAATCTGCGGCATTAAATTGTTAACCAATTATTCGTGCTATAGTGTGGGTTGTGCTTAAAAGTTGTTTCGTCCCAAACAGCTCCCCAATTGGGTTGAAAAATAATAATTCTTCATTATCCATAATATTTTTTCCAAGACCTATGATGAATTTTACTTGCAAAACTTTGTGGTAGTATTGGTACATTTCCATCTAAAATATATACAAGATTACCTACTTGTTATTTTAAAATTTTTGTATTACCTTCTGTTCTTATTGTTATATTATTATAACACATTTGGTTGTCATTGGTATATTATTATAAAATATTATGTTCTTATGGGTTATTACCTTCGGTTGATTAAAAAAAAATTATTGTTTTGGTCTATAAAATTAAACAGTTTAGATATGATATGCCCTCATACTTTTTGGTACAGCTCCCTAGTCCCACTGTACTTCGATTCGGTGTCCAACTATTGAAATGCGTTTTGCCTTCTGCTACTTCTCTCCCGGAATAGTTGGGCAAGGACTTGCGCGGAAGCTGTCGGTAAACAGGGGGGAGGTGGGTTCGCGTCTCTTTCTCTGGCTTGCAACCCTGGGCTTTTGTGGCGAAAAGTCGAGCCATTCTGCGTTAGTCTTCGGTCATATGGTCGTCCGTCGAGTTGCGGAGTTGCGGTCCCGCGGAGTCGCCTTCTCGCGGTATTCGCGTCCACTCCAAACATCCTGTGCTACTAAACTTTTCGATTTCCCTTCCGTTACCGTATTTAACTTTTGGTTCTACTTTTTTTTTCGTGCATAGTGTTTGTGAGTGTTTTGTGTGAATTGAATTTTGCGACAATAAATACATTACTTTTTGTTGCCTAGTTGTTATTTTTTATTGTAGCACACTTTTTGCTATAATAACGTGCTTCCTTGTCTGGCCGATTTTTTCGGTACCGCCTCTGCCTTCGTCGCGTGCAGAAAAAGTAAGTGCAGAATTTAACGTACATTTTCAGCTATTCAGTTATTGTTGTTGTTTTGGTCCGTGAGGGTGGCAACCATCGATTTGCGTGTCGCGCGGCCAAAACACAGAAATTCAAAAATCAAAATCACATCGGGAAACAAAAGAAATCAAATGCCAAAACAGCAATTCGATTGTTTGAAATGGGACGGGAGGAGAAAGAGCCAAAAAACAAACAAACAAACAAACAGCACAAAATAATGATTATTATTATTATGATTATTGCTGGGCTGTCTGTTATTGGAACTTATCGTTTTATCTGTCTACCGATGATATGTACTATACACACAGATATCTGTGCTGTGGAATGTGCTGGTGTAAATCATAAACATAAGGCGCATTCAATTATAATTCCACATGCAACGACACCCCTGATAACAACAATGAGCACTAAACCATACCCATACTCATACCATCCAATCCAGTGGCCAAGTACCCCTTGGCTCTCCAACTCCCCCGATCTTTGGCTTGCATATATAGTATGTAAATATAAAAAAAAAAAAAAATATATAAATGAACAACAAACTGTGACAGCTTGGTTGGTCCCATAGCTTATGGGGTTTATCTGAAGTTCCACTTACAGACCGACAAATGACAAATGACACAGGCATACAAACATATGGATATACCAATATATGCATATATATATGTATATATCTGTAAAATATGTCATACGAGCAGGGATAAGGCAAATAATAATGGCCCGAGCAGATCCAGTTTTAACCACTTAGGGACAGACCAATTTATGAGTATAGAACTTTACAACTGTCATTGATATGTGTAAGTCGATCGAAGAACAAAGAGCCAATATTCCTTTATGGTTATATATAGTGAGAGATAAGAAAGTAAGTCGCCATTCTTGAATAGTGGCTGTTAATTCTAAGAACTTATTATAGTGACCAATCCAGATAAAGATCTTCAGCTTAAAAAGCTTTGAGATAAGACATGTCGATCTACAGGTATTAATAGGCCTTTGCCTATATATAATATAAATCATTTTCCTTTAGAAGTTTTCCTATTTGTCCCCATTAAAAAAAATGCATTGATTTATTTGCAAGACAGCTTTCCTTAAAACCATTTGCAGCTTAAAAATAAAGCACTCGTAAGGAAGCATCATCAGAAGATTATTTATTATATCCCGTATGGACTTGAGTTCCATGTTTTGCTTTGAATGAATACAAAATTTGAGTCATAAATCTTTCTATAAACTTTCCTTGCACCGCAAGATGTCTGGCCTTTAATTAAAGAACTTGTAAATGTTCTATGGCGGTAATATTATTAATTCTCCCTGGCTGAATTTCGCCAACAACATTTTTTTTATGAGTCATAGTGTGGCAGGCCCTCCCACCGTGATGGCGCCTCTTGAACTGCTTGTTTTTTTATTTGCCAGGAGATTGAGTCACGTCAACTGTTCTAATGAGTAAGTGGGAGCCGAGAGTTGGAGGGGTGATGGTGGGCTGATGGGCTGATGGGCTGATGGGCTGATGGCCATCTGACCTTGGCGACCGCATGCGCAGGCATTCGTCACGCACCCGAAACTGGCAGGAGATTCCCTCGAAAAGGTCGAAATACAGCACTCTGCATATGTGGCATTGACCTTGCCCAATTCTTACCTGGCCATGAGACCCTCTCACCCGCTGAGCGGCCTTCATGGGAAAAGGTCGACCCTCAAGGTTCAGAACCAAGCCAAGGTCCAGAAGGTGTCAAGCCAGCAAATATTGGTCTTCGATTCAATAGTTTCCCATGACTGAATGAGCATGATTTAATTTTTATGACATCTAAGTGACATCATAACATAACACAGCACCATTTCTTATCACTATCTCATTTAATTTTATTCTGATTTTCAAAGGGCACTATTTTCTAATATTCTACGTAAAAAAACTATTTTTTTTTAAAATATTTTAAAAATATAATACCTATGATATACGAGTCTATTTTATATTTTGCCCATTGATTGTAACCTTTACGAAAATATAAAAATTGTACCATAAGCTAAGTTTTGGTAAAATGCATCAGAACTGGAGTAGTTGGAAAGTAGATTAAACGAGTAGGGTACATAATATTTGATTTTGTAATATTATGTTTAACTATTTATGGACTTTAGAAGGTTACGTAATTTTAGGGAAATTACCAACAGCAGGACACACCCAAGTATTCTGTGGTGATGGTTCCGTTTTTCAATTGGATTCACCGACGGCATGCGTGCGAATTTTCGTGTATTTTGAACGTGGTGTTATTTTTTTGTTCCAACTCTCTTGCCATTTCCGCTTGTCAGACATTTGTCAGCTTTTAGCTTATTGCCAACTTCTGTAGCCGAAGTCTATGAGCGATTGCGAAACAAGCCTACACCGATTGTGAGCCTGAATATGAGTTTGGGACTGGGTTTTGGGTTTGGGTTTGAGTTTGGGTTTGGGATTCGTTTTCGTATTCGTATTCGTATTCGTATTCGCATTCGGAATGGAATTGGGATTGAGTCCGAGACTTGAGCCCACCTCGGTATGGTTCCGTTTTCGTATTTATCAACGTTTTAGTCGTTTCTTTTCGCTCATTTCATCGCATATTTACGTAGGCCATTCGAGCCAAGTTAACGCCTTTATTTATTGACTTATTTGTTTAGACAACCACCTCTCTCCATCTCCATCACCAGCACCATCACCATCGTCAAACCATCTCTATCTCCAGCTAGTTCTCAACGATGTGTGTAACGCTCACTCACGTTCAATGACAAAAAGCAAATAAAACTCCATTTACCGTTTTCTACTTACGTTTCTGATGATGTCACACTCGGTACCGGTACCATAACTAAAAAAAAGAAAAAAAAGCCCAACTATATATGCATATATCATTTTCGATTTCCTTTCTGTCCCCAGGTTCCGGCTCCAGCTGAGGAAAACCAAACAGAAAAGACCAAGAAACCGAACAGAAGAAGGCGCACAGCAAAGAGATATCAACACCAAATCGGTAAGTTCATCGAAGGTCGCGAGGGAAGTGTTAACTGTGGGGCGAACTTTTTCTGGCGGGACGGATCGTAAAAAATCATAGGAACTTTCATTGTTATTCCACTGTTTACATAGTTTGTTTGCAGATAAACTCTTTGTTTATTTTTAATAGGACTGTATTTTGAAAATACAAATTTTCCCAGAATTTAAAAGACTGTGCAGCATTTTATTTTGTGGAAATTCTAGCTCTTATAACTTATTATTCTTATAGGTTTATGTTCATTGTATTATTGTGTTTAGTCGGATCCAAATATATGGTCTTTAAAGCTGTGATAAAACCAAAGCTATTTCTTTAAATTAATCAGAAAAGATTAATGTTATTTTTAGCTGCCAATATAAATATAAAGTCAGGCAAACTTTGAATTCCATGAGTCATTTTGGAAGAGTCCTGATGCCTGCATACCTTTAGAAATAACTCTACCCTCAAGCATTTACTTCTAACAAAAAAAAAAAGAAAACGAAACACTTTTATCTGGCGCAAAAATGATCACTTAATGCTCGATGACCATTCGCGATCTAGAAAGAAATGCGCCCCGGCACTAATCACTTTGGTTCTGGGAAAGTGTTCCGCCGTCACGATGTGTGAATCATGTGGCTATAAGCATATATGCCCCGGGCTCTATCAAACGCGTATCTCTTGGCCATGATAAAAATATACGATCGATTTCGTCACAGACCGAGATGACGACGTCTCTGGCTTTATATATTTGTTTATATATACATATATATTAAGCTATATTCGTGTGAGCGCATTTTTCGGGGGATTATGTCGTAGGTCAGGGAATCTGAATGTGCGAAAGAAATGCTCGTTTCGAGTGGTTATGAATGGGCAGACCGCCAAAAGAATCTGACTCACAAGACACGGCGCTTCTTGGGCTGCATTTTTGTTGTCGGTTTTGGGTTTTGGGTTGTGCGTTGTGGGTTGTGGGTTTCTCGACTGTCGACTGTCGGTTTCGTTTTCGATTTCGTTATCAAGCATTTATCACCCCAATTGGCATTCAACAACTAACGCGTATCGATTCGGGCAGAAACGTGGCGCGAAATTCATTCATTCAACGATCGCCAAATGGCGACGATCGATAGCTCGGAAGTCGATTTGTCGTCGTTTGTCATATTCCCCTCGAACCGCATATCTCCCATCGAAAATTTCAATATTTATGAGTGTGCAATCGCTCCTAGTTGCCCACAGCTCCTCAGCTCGTCAGCTCGTCAGCTCGTCAGTTCCTCAGTTCCTCAGTTCCGAAAATGGACAACCGAATCGACGTCAGGGCCCCATCTCCGATCAGTTTTTGGACAGTTCATTTATTTATTTCGACAGGCGACGGCGGGGAGAGTGTGTCAAGTGATCGCCAAAGGGCCACGAAAGCGGCTGAATACCAAATACCAAATACCAAATGACAGGCATTCAAATTGTGGTTGGGAGTGGATCATAGATCAGTTGGCAGTTGATCAAACACAGATAGCGAGGATGACAGGCAAAGGGATCCCCAGCTGAATGGGAAATGATGCAGAGGTGTGTGGGATCCTCAAGGAACAAATCGTCGGTATTTAAAAACGAAATAGGACCTCGGCCTTATTCAGGTATTTAAAGTAGATACAAATAGATATGATCGAAGAACCTTTCTTTCAAATTTAACAATCAATATGAGATGTTTCATGGTTCACCCATTTGAATGCATGGTCATTAGGAATGCAAGGATAATAAATATTTTTACTCAACCAGCCAACATCACTGTAAAATTTGTGGGAATCAATGAAAAAGAAAAGGCAGTTAAGCCAGAAGGATTTACTAATGGTTTTACAAAAGGATCCCAAATCCCATTTACTGATTTGATGAACAACTCAAGAATTTCCAAAACATTGCCAGGGTTGAGATTTATTTTATAATTATCTTCAAAGAAAATTTAAAAAAAAGGTTTATTAAGATTTTGGATCAGCAATCCCTCATCTACATTACTGATGTCTCCAAATCTTTAGTTTCAAAATTAAACTAAATCTAAGCAGCGTTACTTTAATTTTGCTGATCTACTGATCTCTCTACTGATCTCTCTACTGATCTCTCTACTGATCTCTCCATTCATCTTTGATTCACAACTCCTTGCGTGTTGATCGTGAGGCATTCGCCCGAGGCGATCTTTTGTCTCTTTGTCGCCACTGCTCATTGAATTAATTGCACACAGAGTCGCAACTTAGTTGGTCCCATCCCAACCCGATCTCCATCTGCATCTCCATCTGTACATCTATATCTGCATCTGCATCTATATCTATATCCATCTGCATCTGCATGTTGAACAGAAGAGTAATTCCCAGGCCCAGGAGCCTTGTAAATTTAGTTGTTCGCGCACGCAATTTGCTGGCTCGCAGACGAGATGCTTGCTGTGGTCATGAACCCGCATTGTAGTTGCCATTTTATTTGTTTATTAATTGCTCAGCCCCTCTCGCCAGCGGTTGATGGATGATGTGGCCCCGTCTTCGTCTCCGTCTCCTTCTCTGACTTCGTCTCCAGCTTTAAATCCATCTCCATCTTTGTAATCATCTCCAGCTCCGGCTCCATGTCGTTGGCATGTGGGTTGTGGGTGAAATGAAACCATTCAAGTCGACAATGAAATGCTGAAGTTTCACTTGGATTATGCCTCAACTGCCATGGGTATTACGCAGTTTGATCTCGCATTGATCTCGGCTGATTTGCCAGGCAGATTTACCAGATTTGTCAAGAGATTCAGATCTTTTACAACCGATTCTAATGACTGTCGCTGGCTGCGCACATTTCAGTCCCTAAGTGTTCTTAAATGTTCTTTTAATTAGGGAAACCCTAGTAGAGATGAGATGCTTCATGATCTGATCGCAAATGATATGTTTAAGCGACTAATTTGTTTTAAATAACAAGTTTTTAAGATTGATCTAATTTTAGTTTATGGAAAATAGTTTCTTATAATTAAGACTTTGTTGCCCAGTTTATAATGGGAAACTACTGGAGAATATGCTTTTAAATTGGATATGATGATTTGATCTTGATCTGATATTAACTGATCTGTTAAAAATTCTCATACGAATTTGTATTTATTATATTTTTAGATAGAATGTTTTTTAGTGTAAGCAGTAGATTCTCTTAATTCTCTTATAATTGAATTCAAAAATTATCCCAACTTGATCTACAGTATTAAAAATATTCAAACAATTTAAAGCCTTAGTTGAGATCATTAAGTGAACATTTATTCCGCCACTCTTTAATGTAATTAACATCTGCCAAGAATAAACTATACCCCCCAAAAAGCAGCCAGAGTTTTCCATCACTTTTTGCGATCTTTAGCGATCGCAAAGCAGGCGTGAAATCATCGTTATTATGATGATTTGTTTTTTGCTCGGCGGTGGGCATTATTATCAAATTAACACGGCGCTTCACGGACCCATTATACGAGTGTATAGAAGTTAGTGGTGATTTCGGGGGAGTGGAAGCCAAGCGGATCCGATTAAATGCCTTCGACGATTGTCGCCTATTAACGAAATCAACTCGAATGCGGGCGGTCTGATGATGGGCCTAATCAAAATCGTATTTATGAGATACGACACACACATATGTACTATGTATATGTGTAGTAGGATACATACATACATTATTTAGTGGGTCAGGGGTGCCAGCGGTGCGTACTTAAATTTCATTACATTTAATGGCGTTTAGTCATCAAGGGATTATTATTATTATTATTTTCATTTGTATTTGCATTTGCATTTGTATTTGTATTTGTTGTATGTCCGTCGAAAGTTTGTCAGAAATCTGTGGAAATCGAAATCCATCTGTTTTTGGATGGAATGATAATGCTGAAAGGGGGCGACAAGCGATCGAATGTCCGAATGTGATCACAGCTCGAATGCCAAATGGTTGCGCATGCGCATTTTCGGGCCAGCGAATTATGAATCGAGATGCGATGGCGATGGGTTTTGCGACTAGAGAGACTGTGAACCGAACCGAACCAAACCGGACTGGACCAACCTGATGTACGGAAAGGTGAAGACAAATTGGGCAGCTTACATCATGAGGTGTGCTTTTTTTTCCGTTTTTTTGATTTTTTGCACAGTCTGACAGAAAATATATATCGCCCTAAGGCCCGGCAATTAAGAATTTTTGTCTTTGGCCTGGCCTTTAAGCCGATGTTTGCCTGGGTGGGCGAGAGATTTTGGTGTGTGTGTGTGTTTACTTGTAGTTCGAGTGGCTGTAGCTTGTTGCTCATTAAGTGGCTCAAATGGCAGTCAAAAACTGTTGGCCGGAACCAGGCGGCGAAACCCAACTCGGCCAAGAATCATTATGTCAATGTCGGCTGCCCGTCTTCCCCTCTGACTTTATGCCCCGACACTTAATTTGGTGTTCGGGTTACCTCATAAGTCAAACCTCGACTGTGAAGGTCTATTCTCGGAGATTTTGCAACCGAGTGCGAGTGTGTCAAGTGTCGATCGCTTCGTCCTCGGCCACTTGAGTCAGGAAATCAAAAATCTTTCTTTTTTTTTTTTTTAGCCCATCTCTCGGGGGAATAAGGCTCTTTGTTGTCGGCCATTGATGCTGGAGGATCGTTCGGGTTAAAGGATGGGTTTTCAAGTTTCCGAACTCAAATATCCATGACTCGGCACTCCTTTTCGGCTAAAGTGGGATCATCCATCAGGGTGGCTGGAATGAGTGCCTAGATTAAACGATCGGCTCCGATTGAATCATTATGCCCTGACGATCTTGCCCTGATCTTGGGCATCGCTCCATTGTCTTGTGCATAATTTGTAACCAAATTTAGTTATAGTTTGGTGCTAAAGGGAATAGGTTTATAGGGTTCGGTTTTCTCCTGTTGATCTGAGATCTTCGATCAACGGGCTGCGTGTGTGGGGCCTTGCCTCTCTCGTTACAATCGCCTAGCTGCAGGGGCTAATTTCTGTTAGCTGCGTGCTCGTCATTCCCCTGATTGGCTTCGATCGTAAAAC